GTCGGCAGATAAAGACACGTGTCCCCCCGGGGAACAGATGGGCTGGAACCTGCAGTGCATTACGCGGCGACGTCACACCATCACCAACAACTCCTATTGGAAGGAGTACAATGACGGATGATATTCAATATTACTTATGATCAAATACACGTTTAAGTCTTAAGGCCTTTATGACTTTTTATTGCAGTAAGTAAATAAAAAACATAACCCTCTTTCTGGCGCAGTCGGGTTATAAACACAGTCTTATGGTTTGAGGTCAAGGTTAATGCAACATTAATCAGTGCATATTATGACGAACTTACTGCCACAAAGCATTCTCTGCCAGCTTTAGTTGTTTATTTGTAACTACTCAACAGAGGCGGGGCAAGACCTAAATTTGATGTGGGCAAGACAGATTTCGCGAGGCCTTGTTCTGTGGCGACCTGAAGACGGATTTATATACAGGGTGGAAACGATAAGTGATCTCACGCGATTATTTCGAAACTATACAAGATATCCAAAAACTGGTTACTGATCCTGAAAGTGCTTTACGAGCTCTATCCAACGGTACCAATAAAAGGTTACCAAATAAACTGGATCTATCTGAAAATTCAATGTTTCTGGCTTCTATACATTTACTAAAACCACATAATATGAAAAACTATACAAGATATCTAAAACCTGGTTACTGATCCTGAAAGTGCTTCAGGAGCTCTATCCAACAGTACCAATAATGGGTTACAAATCCGAAAATACTATCCGAAAATTCAATGTTTCCCGCTTCCGTACATTTAGTACTGCCACAGTCATGGCACTCATGTCTTGATAATATAGCAAGTAAAGCCTAAAATTAATGTTTTTCATGAATAATTTTAAATAAGAAAGCAATTTGGAGATCAATTTAAGTATTTATTATTGAATTAAAAAAAATTCACACTTCCAATATTGAGTGGCTGGCATACATTTAGTATGGAGCCTGGGAACATTGAATTTTCGGATAGATCCAGTTAATTCTGTAAAATATTACTGATAGAGTTTGAAAGAGCTCGTAAAGCACTTTCAGGATCCATAAACAGTTTATCGATATCTTGTATAGTTTAGAAATAATTGAGTGAGATCACTTATCGTTTCCACCCTGTATAATGAAATAATAAAAAAAGGGTCAAAGGTCTATACATTGACAGTTTCTGATTTCTTGATTCAGTGATTATTTTTAAAGGAATATTGCGCCAAAGAATAATGTTCGTCACTTAAAACCGTGTTGTTGCTTAATTTTGTGTCTGAATTTGTTTGGAAAAAAATATATTTTTATTTTTAACTACATTGTTTAGCTATCAAGAATTTATATTTAATAGTCAATGTTCGTATTGTGATATTGTCATCTCCACCTTGTATACATTTTTTCAAAATTTTTGATGCGCGAGGCCCCTTGTTCCGCGAGGCCGTAGGCGGTGGCCCACGTCGCCTACGCCTTACGCCGCCTCTGCTACTCAAGTAGGTACAAGGGGGTTGGAGTGTGCATTACATAATTTGTAATCAAAGATATACTTTCTCAAATCAGTTATTGTTCTGCAAGAACAGTTCGGTCTTAGCGTTTTTACTTTTCAGTATGTTACAAAAATTATCAGTGTTTACTGGCCCGGACTATAATATTGCGGAAGATGGTGTAATTCACAAAAATGATGCCACTAAATCCCAAATCCTGTGTTTTGTTATTAGTATGTTCACACAAATTATCTGCAGAGAGTTATTTTATGACTGGATTTGATAAACTGACTCATAAAATTGCGTTGTAGCGATTCTTGCAAAATAGTTATCAGTTTTGATTTATTTTCTCTGAAATTGTGCAATCGGTGATAAAAGGATGACATCTTAATACTTAATAATAAATAATGCGTTACCATGCAGATCGATAACATAAAATATCTACCAGCTGCAAATTAAACATTCGTCATTAGCATTGTTTTGTTTCCTAGTGTATTGTTTTTCCTTCGGAAGATAAAATAACAAGAGAAACCCGATCACACTGTAGGTAACATTTTTGTCCCTTGGAACTCTATCCTATGAAATAGTCAATTTAGTAATCAATTTATTCCAGTAATTAAATTACTCTTTAATTCAGTTTCCTTCTTTTCTTTGATATACGAGTTAAAGGTGTTCCTTCACCGGGAGCATTTGCGTGTAACGTAATGTTGGAGCATTACCTACTTAGGGGAGACCGGGGCAAGATGAAGTTCGGGGCAGGACGGGAAATAAGCTTTTGTGCGTGAATAGTAATCGTGTTCGGATCAGCAATGGCTCCATTTGCTCGAACTTTACACCGCGCAAGTGCGTCCAAGCAGAGCGAAGGCGTTGGAACTCGTGTTTACGTTGTATAGGACAAAAACTGATTTTGCAAGTATTCTTATCCGATTTTTGGTTTAAAAACTGATGTGCAATCCTGTAAGTACTTACGTTAATATAATGTTTTAATCCTAAGCTTATTGTATAGTATAACACTTTAAATTCAGACTATATTTTTGCGCCGGCAACGTATGAGATTATAATTGCTTCAACTTATTTGAATACATGTGGATCGGGGCACAATGGTCGGGGTATAATGGGATACTATATTTTACTATGCCTTCTGTGTACCGATAGAATATAATATTGTAGTGACTTCTACATTAGCAAGATTTAAATAAGTTTGTTTCTCTTTCGATTTTTTTTCTTTATTCGGTAATTTTGTTTCGAAATATTTAAGCTAACACACCGTGTTTCTTTTTGTTGAAAGTTATTAACATTACTTAAATAAGTAGCATGTGAAATAATTTAAACAGTTTATGAAAATATGTAATTTATTCATCTGGAATGTGTGCCATGGTTCGGCACACATTTCCTGTGCCGATGTAGATGAAAGATTCCTGACTCCTTTTGCCCCGTAACATTTCCCATCTTACCCCAGCCATGGGGCAAGACGGGAAATTCGCCTCATTAACGTTAATCATTATTTGACAAAAAATGACTGTGATTTTGCATGCTAAAATGATAAATTATAAGAGACTAATGTATAAGTGTTACTTGTTTAGTGAAAGAATTTAATTAGGTACAGAGCTTAATTTTCATTTTACATCGAGTTTTGTCTTAGCTATCTCATCTTGCCCCGGTCTCCCCTACCTATATCAGTGAGGGAGGAAAATAAACAATTACATCGCGCACCTTGTTATGATACAATTTATCAACACGTGAAAACTCGAAAATGTATTATAGATATTACAATTATTGCGAATGCTTACACGCGAATGCTCGTCACTCAGGTAGATAGTGTAATGTAATGATCAAAGTCTAATTTATACCTAATGTTACACAGGTTAATGCTCCCGGTGAAGGAGCATGTTAAGATTTTTCGCTATAAAAAATATTATTGTAGTAAAAATGACTTTCTTGTTCATGCAATAAGTAGAAGAACCTCTTACTACTACTTACTAGAACGCCAGTGACGATCCCAACTACTTTTCCTGGAACGAGGGCTACTTCATTATATCGCAAATGCGCCCATAAAAATTGTTGACCTTACGTTACTTTCGTAGGTTTGACGTCAAGGGAAAATAAAGCTGCGATTCATAAATTCGTCCGTGTTGTGTAAAAAAGATCCCACGCGAGCGTCAAGCCCCTCCAAACAAACAACGGCCAGCCTGTTTGGCACCACGGCGATGACGCGAACGTTACACGGCCTGAGATAACAAACGGCATTTATAAGTGCTAAAGGGGACGCAGGAGCTTCATAAATAATTTCAACATCATTGCTGCTACTTCATTGGGTACTTCGGAAGTTCGTTGGACCTTTTACTTAGTTGAGAAAAAATCAAAGAATACAAAGACAACAACAATGTCAGACAAGATATTCATCATTGCTCTGATTCTATCTCTGGGAATGTTTGTGCGAGCCATGCATATACACCCGCATCATATTATAGAAGGAAACTACGAAGAAAATAATGAAAGAGACCCCAAAAGTGAAGAAGACCATGAAGAAAAGATCCATGGATTGTCAATTGTGAGTACTGACACTGTAACATTAACATAACAGCTTTTGAATTATTAGAAAGTTATCATAAAAAATATCACAGTCATCATACCTATAATCTGACATGGTGTCTCTAACTTATAAAAAGCCATAGGCCCATAGAGATTACCTTGATTTGCTGTTGTCTGTACACGTACCACAAGGGTCTTGTACATATAGCAAATGTAGATCTATGATAATAATATGCAATTGTAACAAATAGGTATATTATGTTGTTGTTAAATAATAAACCACCTCTTTTGTAAGTCCTTGTATGAGCTACGCTACGAAATGCTGTATTTAACATTAAATTACTTTCGTTTTCAGGACATGATCCAACACATCAGGCCACAAGGGTTGGTGCCGATCAACAATGACTACTTCTTCAAGAGGTACCATTTGAAGTGTGAAGATGGCTATGAGAGGGACATCCTTGGTGTATGTAGGGAAGTTTGGTGACACTTTCTCATTATCTACTATCTATCCTAGAATTAATAAATGCAGTTTTATTTACTAAACAATGTACAGGGTTATTTTAAATAAGACGCAAATGCCCGTTTTCACCATCAATCCCTAATCTTTAAGTGACCCCTATGAAAACATAATTCCTGTTATGTGTTACCATAGGAGTCACTTAAAATAAGGGATTGATGGTGAAAATGGGCATAAGACTAAGGGCCCTGAAAATGCTCTTTGTTTACCAAAGTTTTTTTAAGTAGGTAAACACTTGAGTAACTAGGTATAATGATTGCATATTGTGATATTATTATTATGTAAAGTGTTCAAGTACTTGTAGATTATTTTGTGATTGTAGTAGATTAGATAAATCAATAAATCTCTTTAGTACCTGTATCAGACGGTTTTATTGCATTGTTTGTTATTGTTTTCATATGATATTCCTAAAATAATAATTCTACACAGATACAAAGACTGAAATTGAGATTAGAAAAATGTTTATTACACACACTATACACAAGAGACAAAATCAATAAATTATAAGAGCACGAAAATTTTCTACAAAATTAAGAAACTTAAAATAGCCACTTTTAATTTAGTACAGACAATACAAAACGGTTAAAGACAATAATGAAAGCTGTATCATATCAAATTCCCATAACGACTTTAGTCTCTGCCATTCTTTTTGGTGCCAAGACCGTCACAATTTGTGCCATTAATTACAGTTTTAAGAATCTGTTCAAAGTACTTTAAAGTTGAACCATTTAAAAATAACTCAATGAGAGGCAAAAAAATTATGTAGTCGATGCATTTCTCTTCCTCATTGGCACCTAACTGAACAGCAGAGGCTTTCCCAAAGTCATGGTTACATTAGGGAAGCAGGGGGGAGGGTGACCGCACCATGGCCAGACAGGGGGGAAGGCAGGGTGGCCACCCCTCGGATCCACGCGCCCCGCTCGCAGCAGAACGATTCCACGTTGTTGAGAGCCCGCATGTATATTGTTGTTACACCGCCTGTTAAATAAATTAGGCATGTATTTAAATGATCTTTTTAAATTAGCAAAAACGGCAAGTAAAAAAATCTAAATGGTCATCTATTTTAATGATTGATCCTCTTTCTTTGAGACATAAAATAAATGAAATCGATCGATATTTTAACCTCTTTACAGACAGACAGACAGACAGACAAAAATTTTACTGATTGCATTTTTGGCATCAGTATCGATCACTAATCACCCCCTGATAGTTATTTTGAAAATATATTTTATGTACAGAATTGACCTCTCTACAGATTTATTATAAGTATATAGATAGCGCCTCTAGTCCCAAAATAAGCAAAGCTAGTAATTTAAACAAACATGGCAATGTACCATTCTGCTTGCTTATTGGCCGCTAAGCCCTTGGCCAACTCAGTGACCAATGACGGACGATTGTCACTCAACCACAAAGTACCGCGTAAATTAAAAGATATTTTTTAATTAAAAATATTTACCAATAATAATTTTAGTTAGATCAAATATATTTTAAAGTTAAGTTATACATAGATTGAAATGTATTAATTAGGTGATCAATATTAAAAGGCAAACTTGATATAAAAATCATCAAATTAACAAAATTAAAGATCAATAACTAAAAAACAGGATCAAATATTATTTTTGTTTACCAAATATTAAAAGAGTATGTTAAACATAAATATTATGTTACCTTAAATGAAGATCATTCATAATTTATCCGTAGATCAACTAATATAGACCCAATAATTAATATAAAGATAAAATATAATAAAATACATCATTTATTTTTAAAAGTGCACATTCAAAAAAGATCAATTAGTTTTTAGAGGATCAAATAATATTGTCCCAATAAATTAATATTAATTTCAACAATTATACCAATTCTAACCCAAACAGAGCCCAGATGATGAGACTACTGGCGGGAATCGAAGCCTTTCCTCTAGCTAACGTTCTATTCTTTGGAGCTACTCCCTAGCTATGATGCTATATTCTCGGGACCTTGTTACTAACTGCTCAATATTGCTCATTCCAGTTTTCATTCTATTCTATTCCGTCTCGCTTTGAGTTTATGTAAGAAGACGATAGTAGATGGAAATCGCTGATGGAAACTCTTAATCTTGTAAATCTGACAGACCTCGTGCATCGAATAAAACGTTTCGCATACATTTCATATGAAACGACACTACTTTCTTAGCCCATAGTTTTTACTAAAAAGATTTTTTGCATTTAACATGAGCTACAAAATTTAGATTGAAACTCGAATGAATGAAATGACATGTAACGTGACAACGTGACATTCATTCATGGCACTCAATAATGAAAATGTAAATTATTGGAAATCGTACGACATTTGAGTAGCAAACACGCTTCGTCATGGATTCTCAAGAAAATATTCGCGTAATATTGTTAAGATTGCGCAAACGCATGATGCCTAATACGTGTCGCAGTTCGTATTACCTATGTTTTGATTTTCCTTGTTTGATATTACTAATTTAACTGTGCATCAAATATTTGGTTATCTACTTAGAATAAACTTAAAACTCTAGAAGATGTTCAGACGTCAGCACATTTTTTATATGCATGACAATGCAGGTATTTGAACGCAATCGCACCTGGTGTTATTTGAGATGCAGTCTAGGATGGTACATATCTAGAATAACCAATGTTGTCCCTCTTAAAACTGCATCAGATGTCTATCAGTGTTTAACTTGGCGTGCTTTACCCAATGAGCGAGCCGAGATGTCGGACTGTTGAAAGATATTGTGAAATAGGCATAAAAGTAAAAATAAATAAAAATAAAATAAATATTGTTGGACATTTTTACACTGCGCTTCTAGTCCCAAACTGTACTATGGGTACTAGACAACGGATATAAACATACTTAAAGTAAAGCTAACCGATGATGATGAGTTGAGTGCCGAGATAGGCCAGCGCATGACCGTGCCGTGGAATGGACATCTCAGTCTCCAGCTTCCAATCCCGATCTTTCCAGTCCCACACGTCTATTGCGCCCACGCTGCTTGAAGTTTTATCCTGGAATATTGGAATAAATTTCGTCACAATGAGGGTTTTCGCGAATGAAAGATCCGCTAGATGGCGGGACGTGGTTGTGGGGTCTGACTGCTGCGTGATTGGTGGATTTTGACATATCTGTCAATGTCATGTCAAAAATAACCAATCATGCAGCATTTGGACCTCGCGTCTACGTATTGCCATCTGGCGGATTTTTCATTCGCGAAAACCCTCATTGAGAATAACAGTTAAAAATATCCTGTAAACCCTGGCTACATTAAAAAGTGCCCCTTTCTATTTCGACGGTTAAAAATTGGTAAGCAATGTTAGTCAAGTTTGCCGGAACAACAAATTCACCCATCAGTACGTCATTCATTCATTTAATTTACCTTGTCCGAAATTTTCCCTGCACCGCCTACGATGTACAATTTGTCATTCATGGAAAACAACGTCGCGAAACATCTCGGAAATCGGAGGCTGTGAATTTCTGTCCATCTGTGAAAACAAACACGTCAGTTGAATGAACTTTGCATTCCGGGTTATACCATTCCTATAATGTTGACGTTTCTGAGAATACATGACTGTCATCGGGAATAAAGTGAGATGTAGCAGAGCCATAAGAATTGCATGAAGTAAACTTGCATAAAGAAAAATATACCTAAAGCTACTGGGACTCATATCTTTATATCTCCGTACGAGTACATACACGAGGTCCGGAAAACGTAGTCTTGTCTCCTACTAGGTGGACCAACGATCTGGTGAAGGTTGTGGGCAGCGTAGGACCGGTTGTTGTGGAAACCCTTGAAGGAGGCAAGCGCCTCCTGCTCTCCTTTTCCTCGTGCTGGACAAGGGTCCAGCAGTAGACGTTATTTGACTTAAACGAACGAACGAGTACATCTGTATGGTTAGCATGAAAAACTTTCGAGTTCGAGTCGTTTGTGTATTCGAATCGCCTTCAAAAGATTTAGTACGAAAACTACAAATGCGCCCTTGTGAAAGTGTCGTAAAGTGAACTTAGTATAAGAAATGGTTGCACGAAACTTATTTTGAGAATCAAAATTGTCACGTTATCGTTTTATTCGAAGGTTAAATATCGAGTTTTGTCGAATACGCAAACGATTCGAAGACGAAAGTTGTTCATGCTAGAGGTACTGTTCATACTCGTTGGTCTTGGAGTTGTAGCACTCCACGATCTTGCAGACGGGTCTCTTCTTCTCGCCGGTCATGCCGCCGGCCACCCAGATGTAGTCCCGGTACTTGACCGCCGCCACCGCCATCCGAGCCGACCCCATGGAACGGACCTCGCTCCAGGAACCGGATTTGGGGTCGAAACGCTCCACGGATCGAAGGACTCTGATGATAAATAAAACGTCACGTGGCAATTGGCAAAAGTAACTGCAATGAGAGTAAACATACTTAGTTTTTTAGGCAGGCGCTTAGACTCTTCCACGGAACATAAGGTAAAGGTGTAGAGATATGCTGCCTTTCAAAATATGTTAAATGTAGTAAAAATAAGAAAAAATATAAATAAAAAAAATGTTTTTTTTCGTTCCCTAAAAAGACATCAACGCGTCAAGGGTCATAGGAAAATTTAATAATTATTGTTTCGTGACTGTAACATTTCTATTGTGTAGTTGTGAACTTGTGACGTGATTAAAGTCTATGCTATTGGTACATTCATACACATCAATATCAATCGATTTACCTGCCCTTCTTGTCCTGTCCACCGATAGCATACAAAGCCATTCGATGTACCACAAGTCCAAAGTTCTTCCTCGGGATTGATAGACCATTTTCACTGTACCTGAAAATTATATTTCTATAAATACAGTCTCTACAATATAGCTTGTAAAAAGATAACAGGCGTCGTAAACAAAGATGCATTGAGAGATCTTCATGCAGAAACTAACCATGATCTGGTGACAGGTTCGTAGCTCCATACGGTGGAAACGACGACGGACTTTCCTCGTATATCATCATCTCTAGGATCTGCTCCACCTAAAAACAAAAGCAGTTTTAAACACTCATGTGTTTCTACCATAAAGATTGGCAAATTGACGGTCAAATAAGGACACATGCATGAGGACATGTTATTTACGCCACTCACCAACAAGATACACCCGGCCTCGAAGGAAAGCTACTGAATGATGATGTCTCGGCTCTGGGAGCTCACCCACGTAGTCCCAGACATTGGTCACTGGATCAAATCTGGCCATAGAAAATTTGTATTGAAATATTCGGAAACAGATATTTGAAAACTACCAGGAGTCTCTCAAAATAGGGATTTTTAGTTGAGTAAAGTATCATCTAGGAATTTTTTTAAGGGTTTTCGTATTCACGCTAACCAGAACACCAATGGCTAGTGATAGGACCTTACTCGACAGTGACACTGTAAATGCGATAGTTCTCCTACTGCTTTAGAGTTTACAAGTCGGTGCCACTGTCTTAGCCACAAGCAAATGACAAGCCCATACCTACTCGTCAGGGGCGCCAACTGGTGAGCGAAATTCAGTACCTACCTAATCTCTTATTAGAACTGTACCTGTATATATCTTTTCCCGTATTCCTCCCGAGTCCATAAGCTGTGTGAGGGTCAATCCCACCGAAGACCAGAACCGTCTCTCTGTCCCAGTTGAATAACGACCCATCTGCTATGTAGTTCTTGTTGGAAGGTCCGAGAATAGACGTGGAAAGTTTATTCCTGTTGATACATAAAGGTAAGGGTATAACTATTGATTATTGTAACCGACTGAAATTTTTGTATAGATAAACTTCATGAAAAAATCACAAATATCCGTATATGAAGGACGAAGGTATGATACTGTCGGTTCCTTTGCATAATATTGACGCAATTTTAGCTCCAAGTTAAATTTTGCTATTGCAAACTTTCATATCGGCATAAAGAACATATTTTTTTATGTGCCATAGATTGGATAGAGGTAACCATGACAAGTAGGTATAGTTCGTAATGCTCGGTAGTTCTATAAATAATTACTTTTTTTTGTTGAAAGGGGCGAAATGAGTGTTAATTGTCCGTTAAGATTCCTTCTCTTCTCATATTATTTGCGACATTAGGTAGGGGTACCAACGTCTAGTTTTAAATTATCTACGAGATGTATTTGTTATCTATCACTGACATGTTGATCCTGGCGAGCGACTCCTTGGAGTGGTTGAAGAGCGATATCTGCGGGCTGGGGAAGTTGTTCTGCGACACCAGTCCTGCCGGTCCTGCGGCGCGCGGCATCGCCTCGTTCCGGAGAGCACTCGCCGTGGACTGCTGGCGGCCTGGAGATGAAGGGTTGTGGGAGTTCCTGGAAAAGAAAAGTTTGTTCTACCTCTAGAGTGGCAGAAAAGCGGGATGTGGGATTAATTCACATTGCTTTAACGAACTATGGGGTCTGGCGCTTTACTCAGTGCTTGAGGTATGGAAGCGGTATGGGAGGGTGTTTTTGTGACGATTAAACGTCAGAAATACTTCAGATCTAATTCAGCTTTGTATGCTGTCACGTCATAAATATGTCGAGGTCACCCCTCCCGCTCACATACCTCAGGTGCTGACTGAGTTAAGAGCTAGACAAGCGTAAGATATTCGACTGTAAACATCTCTTATGATTATTGTAAAGTTGATTTAACGAGCTCCTTTTACATCAGTCAGATAGGCTCACTAAATAAAGTTACCAATCTAATCACTAGAATATCGTGAACAGTGGTCTATCAGAACAATTGGTTTTATCGAATCCTTACTTTCCTTGTGTGTAAAGTTATGTAACTTACCTCCCTTGTATCACAATCTATTATTTTAAAATGTAAATATCTATGAATGACTATAAGTACCTGCGGGATCCTAAAGCAGCTGTAGCAGCAGCTAAGTATGAAGCGGCTACGCTGTGCCTCTTTTCTTTACTCTTTCCAATGCAGAATTGATTCTGGAACTGAAATTAATAAGGTCATTAAGAGATTATATTTTTAGTTTGACATGGCTTTTACTAGGTACTTTTTATGAAAATAATTTATCTTCAAAATAATGTTATTTTCCTTTACAAACTACTTACAAGGAGAAAAATGATGCTATGCTAAGACGATTCAAAACCTTATCTGTAGTGCTGGTTTCCAGGGTGCCACTGCTGGTCTCGCTGTTCGTGGTGATCAAGTCGTCAGCTGAATCCTTTTCAGGAGGGTCGAACATTTGCTTCTGTATCAGTATTAAATTTAAACTAACTTACGTATCTTGGACGAAATAGGTTACGAACAAGGCTCAGTCAGATGATAATTTTTATAATGTTCACTGTATAAGGTGTAAAAGTTAAAAAATGTAAAAATTTTACACGGTGTATAGAATTTACGAAACAAATTCTAAAGGGGTTCATCTACAGCTAGTAAAAGTAAATATAAAAAAAAATACATGGTTTTGATGAACGGAGCACATATGGATTTCTTGGATTTGTTTGACTTTATTCGTAGGCGATGGTGGTTTCTTTTGATCAGTAATTTTTCGTTGCTCCTACAAAAAAAAAAGGGAAATAAATGAACAAGTCAGTATGTTCTAACATTAAATAATGAAAGACAAAAGTGATTTACTTCTAACTGATTCTGGCGTTTGTCAAAGTCGGGACTTCTTCTGGGAGACGAAGGTAGAGCCTCAGATTCCAGCGGTGGTGACCGCATTGCCATTGGGGAATTATGGCTGCCATCTTGAGCCTGAAATAATTTAGTTTACATCAAATAAGTATGGACTAGTTTAGTACTGAAATCTCAAATATTTCTCACTTAAAAATAAGGAATGCCTCATTTGTTCTTCGGCGAATAAGATGCCTATTATCTTCAGTCACCAAATCGTATATCCGTGAGGGATATAGGAAATACCAGTATAGGCTATAGGTATGTCAAGTCGTCAGCCACTTATAATTATAGCCTGACCAGGAACATAAAAACCCTGGCATAGAGGCGCGTCAATTACATTTGATAGTGCAACACTGGGTACAGTCGTACCTGTATTAAATTAATAGGCTAACTTTATGTATCAGGATTCAGGATTATGGGCTAATTTAATATTTTCATAAAGTATGTAGTATGTGTTTAGGCTGTAACATCATTAAAAATCTGTTTTTCTGTTTATGTTTGATAGTCTAAAAATCATCCTATTCAAATATCAGTTTAAATTGAATTTTCTAAATTAGTCTCATTTATTTATTCACTCAGTATTTCTTTTTCTCTAAAAATATGAAGGTTTAAAAAAAATATTGTTGTCTGTAAACTTTTGGACTTTTTATGTTCAATTAGTTACTTTTTACAATTATTATGGTTTGTAATGAAAATTATGATCATTTGAAATTAGAGTTTTTCTCGGATTTTAATGTATTTTGATGTTTTGTTTTAAACTGTTGTAACTAAATGTAATATTTGAAAAAATCTTAAAAAACCATTTTTTTTCTTTTAAAAAGGGGGGAGGTGTTGTATGTGTATGCGCCACCCTCACACTAACATAAATTAAGGCTTTATATTTGGTGTTGCTGCGTAGACTGAGACACAATATACTCGCATCGTACAGTATAAACTACTTTTATTGACAACTCCCGGTCCCCACATTACAAGTAACAAAAAATATTATAAAACAGGAAAACTGGTTTAAATAAATTAAATGAAACCATCGATCGAGCAAGTAGGATTTTATTATTATTCATCAATAATCAAATTCTAAACTTGAATATTCAACTACAATGTCTGCTCATGAACGCTTCAAACTCGGTACTTCTTTCCCAATTCCATAAAATTCAACACTTACAAAGTGACAAATACTTTAAAATAGGTAGTTGAAACAAACCACAGCTAATTTTCATAGTTGACTGTACTATACGATAAACATGTCAGTCAATTTGACAATCTTTGTCGGAAACATTATTCAATGAAAATATTATCCGAACCCTTAGTATTTCTCTTCGACAAATACTTTAACACATTGTGAACCACTTTTCTTTCACGACTATAAAAAGATTTTAGCAATTTAATTCACAAAATCAATTGCACACATTAAAATAAAGTTTGTTTACACTTTGACAGCAATAGACTGACATGCAAGGTGACATGTCATGGAAGTTTTCAGTTACTGTTGCCATTAAAAGAAATTAGTACCATTAGTTTTCCGCAACATGGCGAGGGTTTTTATGTTCTTGGTTAGGCTATAATTCAATAGGACTTATTGCGTCATAGCGTCACTATAGTAATAGGTACAGGATCTTTGTCTCTTGGACAAAGCAGCATAGTTATTAAATTTAAAAGCGTATTTACGCCGAATACACTAGACTCGTTAGTTTTGATCTTAATCTGCAGCCTCAACCTTGCAGAATAAGGTGGTTAAACACTAAAGCATTTTCTCAAACATTTCTATGTAAGGTAACGTTCTGACGAATGGGACATAATACAACACAGGTAAAAGCCCAGTTTCCAAATCATTTTCATGTGTGTTTAGTTTGTGAAAGGGTCACCTACTGAAACTGAACATATCATAGAGTGGCTCGTTGTTCTGTTACAAGTGAATACTATAGTCTATACTCACCTTAAAAATAACAACTACATAAAATGAAGCAAAATCTTTAGCTGAAGAACTTTTGCCCTCAGTTTTTGTAAGTAAGTGAAAACTTTTTCGAAACTGACCTTTCTTCTTGTGTCAAAGAACTCGCTCATGGTGGGTAGTTTGTCTTTGTCCCCTGCGAGTCCTTTCAGAGTAGCTGGAAGTGGAAACTCCATCTTCGGCCGCCGCATTTCCATCTTGTCGTTATCGGCACCCCGCATGCTGCCTAGCAGCAAACTTAGAATTGGTACAAACGACAGCACATAAAAAAACTGTGGAATTTTGGACAAAACTGTAAAGTCTGATGTGCTGTCGACTGTAGGTACAGTCGGCGACAAAAACTTCATGATACCTAAAGCAATAAGTTCGCAACACGTCTTTGTTGCAATGAGGGCTATCGTTTTTATACTTAGTTGGCACCCCTGGCGATTGACAGGACCTTACTCTACAGTGGCGCCATCTTGATGAGTGCAAATGCGATAGTCCTCCTACCACTTTAGCGCTTACCAGTTGGTGCCACTGTCTTCGCTCCTAGCGAGTGACAAGACCTTACTCTACAGTGGCGCTAACTGGTGAGCGCTAAAACGATAGCCCTCATTGGAATAAGGTTGTGTTGTCAACTTTTTGGGCATTTTGATGCTGGCTGTAGGTACCTTACTTTGCAACGAATACGGAATTTGTAACATGATACTTTGGCGGTTTTAAGTTTTTTCATGCGGTCTACATGACACCGTCACCAAATACACACGTATTAGCAATAGGTATTTTAAAGATTTGATGAATGAATGATTTCTTCAGATTGTTTTAGAATGCGGTACTAAATAACCAAACAACAGAACCAGGCCTGTTCATCTCCGCGAGTTTACATCGAAAACAAAACACGCACGATTGCCCCCTACAGGAGTACTATTCGACAAGGCCTCACATACGAGCGAACTTTGACTCACACACGCGTATTCTTGTGTATGATGGAAGAAAATAAAGAAAATGGTGTACTAAATACTGTGCAGTATTTAACTGCCTAAATAATAATAAAAACACAGAATGTACTTTTATAAGTTGCCTATAGACACTGAGAGGTAAATAAGTAGTTAATATTATTCATGATAATTCATGCTAAATCATGTATTTCCTCCGCCATTTTCTGCAGTTTGGCACCTCACGTCACATCATTTTACCGAAGTCAGCCCTATAGCTTCGGCGCAGTACCGATCACTGACGTTTGTCAACAAAACTTTTGACAAACTTGCTTGACTCTTGAGACAAGCTAAATTACACCATATTGTTAATGACATTGAGCATACATTTTTTTAAATACCTTCGCGAAGTAAAACTTCTGTACGTAGTACTTATTATTATTCTGTGACAGAACTCTCAATAGAAATTCCCAAAGTCAAGGTTGTTTCGGAATAAAATCGATGAATCAGTAACATTAGGCGTAATCTGGGGGCACGGCAGTGCTCCCACCAAGACGAGCAAAAAAGCGGCACGGCCGTACCATCCTTTTCTCGAAGCAATTCAGGCCATTTTCGACCGCCTGTAACTTCGTTGTGGATAAAACTAGAAGGCTGAATTTTCATTAGCTATGCAGGCATTGTAAAGACACGGTATATTTAAAATTTCATTCAATTTGAACCAGTAGTTTAAGAATTATAACGGGTCAAAGTTACTTAATTTTGTCACTCACTGACTGACTCACTGACTCACTGACTCACTCACTGACTCACCGATCATCAAAACTCTAAGGCACTTCTAGCAGACCTAGAAGCTTCAAATTTGGAATATAAGTAGTGTTTGGTGTATGAATCAAGGAAAAACTAAAATATTTGGGGGCACGGTAGTGCAACCGCCAAGTCGAGTAAAATTTTTCAATTTCGGTCCAGTTTTCTAGATACATAACTGCTGTCTACAAAATACAAAAAGAAATGANTGTAAAACGTTAATTAAAGATTTCCTGGCCTGGACTTGGTATTACATGGATCTCACAACTTTTTACCGTAGAACAACTGAGTTGCGAGACTTGGTTTTTTTGACAAGTATTGTTTTTGATGGGATTTAGATGTAGTTTCACAATATTTTCACTTCATAGAAGCTAAACGTATTACTTATTGTTGTAATAAAAACGCATTTATTGCAGATAAAATATGATAAGATCTTTATCAGGCGCTTCTAGTTAAGCAGATAAGCATGATAAGTCTGGTGGGTTTTCCAATTTAAATTTTTGAGGAAGTATTAAATATGCATTTTTAATGTCTTCGTGGTCTCAGACTCTTTTCAACTCGGTGGTTCCAGGCTCGGACCTCACTACTGAGTGCAAAACTGCTATGCTAGTTACTTATTTGAGTTTTCAGTTCAGTTTGGACATTGTAGGCTTGAACACATATTTATTGATTCAAACAAAAAAAAGAAATATGGCGATTCTAGGGCACGACTCTACACAGAATGGGTCAAACATTTTTGCAAATAGCTACGCTTGATTTCTCGAAAACGGTTCGAGGTAAGGACGCGTGAGTGATGAGAAACAGCATATTTTCATGAATAGTCAATGTGGAGCTTTTCACGGGACAACAGCGTGCTTTTTATGCATTTTTTACACTGACACTTATACAGCTCCCAAATACAGCTTGCCCTAAATTATTTTCATTAGGCCGTGTTCATGAGAACACATCTTTATGCAAACATTTGCAGAACTAATGGCGTAAACAACATACCTGGCACGTCATCACTGCGGCGGGCAGGCTGCATCATCGCCATCTGCTGGTACATCTGGTCGCGCGGCACCATGAACTGCTCCAGGTATTTCAGGAAATCCTTGTACGTCACGTGGTTCTGCGGTTATAGGTACATACTAAATTCGTAGGTACCTATTTATAAATGTTAATGCAGATACATACGATGTCTGAGCTAATGTGACGTCGTAAAACTTCTTTACGGTGATGATGATTTTAAGAGATCGTAGATGGAATAGGTCGCATAAGAAATTATTTTTTGTGAACGTTTTACATAAAAGGATTACGTAAAAATGCTCCGTTCCCTTTAATTATCATTAGGTGCAATAATAAATGCAATACGTACTAGTATCAACTAATTAAAATGCAGAAAATACAGGACCTTTGTTTGGATCATTCATCTAAAAATAAAAACTAACAGGAAAGATGATGATCATGTGCATGTGCTATTGTGCTAACTACCGATACAATAATGACGTAATTTTCAATCGAAGCCCTCGTGGTACAGTCCTATGTATTACTTTTCTCTATGGTACAGTCGACACTTGTAACTGTCATCGAATTATTTATTTTACTCATTACTTCACTTTGCTTTTGTAGTCAGAATTAGGTATCCACCCACATGTTAGTCAATTAGTTATAATTATTTGCAAGATTGTTAATTAATGCTATTAAGGCTTGAATTTATAAATGACACTATCGTTTTGATTTTTCAACTTAGGCAACGGTTTCGACCCTACTGCAAAGCCCGTTGTTTTACTTTTGAGTCTCGTTTGTGTATTTTAAACGTGTTAAACAAAGATTCGACCTTGTGATTGTTTGAAAATCAATATTTGACCGAATCACAGAGTCTACAGGAAAATAGGACTCCGAAGTCTAACCTTCTCTTCTCCGATCCAGTTCCTCTCAGCTGGCTCAGTCAAGCCGAGGACGTCAATCCAATGGTAGTAGTTCTTAGAGTTGTTCCCGTACCAGTACTTTATTATCACATACCTGTTATATGAAACATGTTGTTATAACGCTAAAGTAGGCAATAATAACACATTCATGTTAGATTTTGCACAGTAATGTTATTTTTAATAATAATAGTGGAAACAGCAGAAAATGAGTCATCAAGCTGAATATTCATGAAGTATATTGGCACTCCACGAACAAGACATTTAAGATAGAATCAAATGGCGACGTATGATTGACAAAGCCGACGCCGCGTAAGGCGGGGCAGAAGAGAGAAGAGATTATTCTCCAACATTACTTATCTTAAGTGAATTATAAGTATAAATAAGGAGTCATACAAACTTATATCATACAGACATCATATGCCTTACTACTGATACCGATCTCATGATATTTTTTCCGTTACCCTTTCCTTATCACAGCATCAAACTTACGCCAAACCGTCGTCAACCATCTGCTGCACTTCGGGCTCGTTCACGATCTCCAGGATCTCCCCATTGTCCGGGTTCCTCTTGATGTCCACCAGCTGCCACGGGGAGATCAGCCCGAAGCGGACACACCGCATCACCTCCACGGCCAGCTGTCTCCTGGATGCCCAGTCTGCGTACAGCCATCTTACTCCAGCCATCAAGACTTCTATTTCACTACAATGTGATAAACATTATCATTCAGTCGAAGGACGACAAGTCGATCACTGCTATACAAAGGCCTCCCCAATTATTTGCAAATAGGCCGGTCGAAAGCGGCTTTTTGCAACCATCAATCTCATTCATATACGATGTATTATGCACGATATATGTAGGTATGTTGTACCTACTATAATATTTTTAAAGACTATAGTGATTTGCCTTTGCTGATATAAAACAGACATTTTGATCTAGTTTTCGAGAGCCGAATAACGTCAGAGTTTGACATCAAAGAAGGCTCTTTGTAGACATTGTTGATATTAAAATTAGATGAATTTTCTAGAACTACTACATATTTATATTATTTATAATGTTTAACTTAATACTATTATTTATTGCTTTGACTAGTTAATATTTCGTTGGCCTACCTAATACCTATAGTATCGGTTGTTTGGCTTTGATCTTATCTGGAGTGATAATGAAAAAATTGTACTCTAATACTACTAGAATTTATCTGATATTAGTATACATACAAACAAGACTCGTTTCGATAAAATGAACTAGACAGACATTTATTGTATTTGTCCAGGAATAGATTAGCCGATAGTTTATGATTCAGGTTTCAGTATAATCGGTTTGTTTTTACCTTGTGACGCATATGTAGTTAGACTTGAGGAAAGTCAGAATTTCTTCTGGTTCCAGTTCTAGAAAGTCCCTCGACGCCACCAGAGGAAGAAAGAAACGCATGACGCGTGGGATCTGTAATATTATTTATTAAACTAATTATTTCATTCAATTTTTATATGTTGAAAATTTTTCCTTTAAATTATTCAGTGAACTAACTCATCGAGACAAGTCAATATCTAATTTACCATTAGATCGACGACAGGCTGCATCCCCTTTATTCTTGCCTCTCGAAATAAAGCAAATGCTGTATCTTCGCTGAACAAATTTTCGTTAACAATAAAAGCCCAGCACTGGTCTTCTAAATCTGTAAACAAAAACAACTGAAATGTAAGCAACTGTTTAGGTAGTGGTACGAGTACCTATTGCAAAATGAATTATTGAAATCGTAAGCAATACCTTTAACAGCTAAAAATTGTGCAGCGCAAAATAAATCTAAAATATTTTCCCTTCTCAGTACTTTATTGCTTTCAGGCCCACTGATGATCATCCACTCGTAAATAGTTTGAAAAGATTCGGGTGTAACGCTAGTCTGCAAGAAGTTGGAAATGAAAATATAAATATTTTATTTAAATACACTCCCACGTTTTATTTGCCTGGAAAATGTGGAGTATTGTCACTCAAAGAGTTTTCAGTGACTGGTGTAGTGCAAAATAGTTTAGGAAAATATATTTAACTTACAATAGGTAATTCGATTTCTCGTCTTGGATTCATGTCAAAGAAAGCAGAATAAACTTGTAAGACAATATGGTGGCAATGGAACTCTTCATCACCTATGTGGATCACTGTATCAGTGTTCCTGAAATTATTGAAATTGTTATCACTGTATAACAAAACAATCACATACATATTTTCAATATCTTGTAAACAATACTATGAAAGGGATTTACCACAATCGCATTCTTCATATCAAGTATTTGAGAAAGTGAAGCAAAGGACACGCTTAAAGGGTTCATTGACTCACTTGACTTTGTTTTGACTTACACATGATTATGTATCCGCCTGTAGAACTCTTGGAAAAGGTCTTGCTTCTTAGGCAGCTGCACCCGCATCCAGTCTATGGGTTCTGCCACAGCATAACCGAGGCTGCCCAAGTCTTTGCCCTTATCCTCTCTTACACTAGGATGCTTTGTTTTTGCACATTTATCAAAATTCCTCGCTTGAATATTTGTATTTTGAACGTCTCTAGGTCCGTACTGTAACTGTGGTTCTGATCCACTGCCAATTTCCTAAAAGCGTCCATCATGTATGCTCTAAATCGAAACTTCTATTTGTTATATATTTTTTAAAATATTGCACTTACAAAGTTCTGTTCAATATCATCAGGTTCGCCAGCTGCTTTTCCCTCAAATTTTACTTTAACTTTTGCTTGTGTTGGGTCTGCTAGTAAAACTCCAACTGTAGATGATTGAAACACTACCTAATTAAAATAATTATTAATATGGATTTTGAGTTCACTTTAAAAGATTATAGTTTATTATAATTTCATTAAATGGGGTTTTTTACCTGATTAGACTGAACTTTTAGATTTCCACTGGGAGTTGATTTGAAGGGAAATGATGCACCTTTTTGATTGCTCATTTGATCCATGCTACACGCACTGAAACAATTTTCTTTTACATGAACACAGAACTGCTATTATAATGACACTTAGATTAAGCTTACGAAAATCAGCCGGATGTCAAGGGCCTAGAGCATAATAAATAGCTTTTTGTCATTCTTTCACAATGCTATCTTTAGCATTGGACTTGTAGAACTAAGGTATTTTTTAGATAAATCTCTGGCCACTACCTTGAGTTATCAGCACACGATGAAAGGTTCAGGTCTAAGGCATCTCTGTCGATTTGGATGTTTTGGACATACTCCGCTGCGAACTTGGACGCAAACGTGTCTGGTGACATCTCCGCTTTTCTCTTCGACTTCCTTTTTAGAAAAATCAATATGCAACAGCTAAAATACCTTGCTAATTTTAAATTCAAAAGGGATGGAGCTGAGATCCATTACGAAAACGTTTTTTTTTCAGAATGCTATTACTATGGTACAGTTTTCCTTTTATACATTATTTTGGTAGCTAGCATACTCGGAACAGACTGGTAGACAAGTCGAAACATTATGCCTATCCTGAAGTATTAACCTACTTAAAGAACGTATAATAAAAAAAATACTAACTGTCTCTGGAAGGTGATACTTACTTCCCTTTGAAGTTCCACGACATGTATTGTGCGTCTTGTCGGTCTCGTTTCAGATAGGTAAGCGAGGCGTCTCCTGAGCTACCATTAATGGAGTCCCTTTCGTGTTTTTGAGAGAAGAGTTTTGTAGAGTGCTTTAGAAAATCGAATGCTGAAACCAATAATTTGTGTTTCTCTACAATTTTCCACGCTCATTAGCTTTTTAGGTAGAGGTATCATCATCATTACAGCCACAGGACGTCCACTGCTGGACATAGACCTCCCCCAATGATTACCACATCGCCCGGTTGATAGCGGCTGATAGAGGTATATCACTTTCTTAATAATAATTCAGAGGCTTAAGAAAATCGTTCTTCAACACTCATGTTCATTTAATGTGGATAGTAAGAGTTACTTACTGAAGTCGCTGGTGTTGGTTGCGAGGTCAGAGAGCGAACTGCTCCTGTGGAGGCGGGGTTTGATGGTTATGCAGTAGTGTTCCAAAACGTTTCCGAAGCGCTTGTTTTTCCTTCTCGAGACAGAGCTGCAAATTTTGAGTGAAAGTTTAGGCCCAATTAAGCTAACGCCTGTTGGGTGGAAATCTATGTTGTTATGAAACCACCCTAAATATGGTACCTAGTACCTAAAATATAAGAGGGACTAACTTTTAACACACCTTGATGCGTCAGTGTTTTAGTTAAGTATAGGTAAAAAGTTTTTCCCGTAAAAAAGGATACTAACAACCATAAAATAAGAACTAAATAGCTTAAGCGTTTCTGAATCGACGTAGTAACACATCTTAACACTAACGATACATTGTTACTAGATCATTTGTATGGCAAATTATAAGATTCTTGGCATCATAAAAATAACTTAAAATGATTTGTGGAAGAACCTTGTAATCACAATGGAGTTTATCCATTTGTGACATAAGACATGAATGACAACAAGAGTGACCATATCCAAAGTGGAAAAGCTAAATACATTTTCAGAAGAATAGTTTGAAGTTTCAAGAATTACAAGAACCATTAAAATCGCTGCAAAACAATTTAAAAAGTTGATTGCCGTTGATAATTATGACGCAATAGCTAGGCCTGCTAATACTAATCCAACAAAATGTTACAAATTGCAATAGATAACATATTCATGAAAAGAGTTATAACACAAATCATATTTTAAACAGCATATGTACCTCAAATTAGATGTCCCATCATACTTATGGTTAGGAAGCGAAGTAAGGAATTTATGAAATCTATGGAAAATGTTGGGTACGGTCACCCTGAAACTTACACAGGTGAGTGCCGTATAAGTGCGACGTTCCTTGCATTTGACTCTACTTCTGTACTATTTATCTGTGAAGAACAGTTGTACTGATTAATCTTGGACTTTACCCTGTGTGTTTTAGTGAGAGTAAAAGCCTGTAAAAATGATAGAAAGCAAATACGCTTGCGTATTCCTTCTAGCAATATTAGCTGTAAGTAACTCAGCGTCTAAGACACTTTTCTTACTTTTTCCAAACTAGTGCTTTTTAGCATTTCAATCTCGGCAAACGAATAATTGAGAAACGTGAACCATAATGCACTTATTAATGTTTTTATGGTTACTAGAAACGCCCAAATCTCTTTGTAAATTTTTGACGGCTAATGTTTGACTTTTTTAAACGTGACAACGTCATCATATTGAAAAATGTTTACTTTTTTGTGGAGAAAAGTCAACATAAATTGTGTCTATGGGTAAAAACTTAGGTGAAAATCAGGTTTTTCTAAGAGTTTTTCCCATAGTTTTTCCTAAGGTTTTCCCAGGTTTCCCTTCTCTTTATTTAGGCTTTCCGAATAAGGCTACTTATGAAGCTGCGAATTGGATACCTAATTAAAATTACTTGATGGCCTTTTCATGAACCGAGTTTCCAGTACATTCAAAGTTTGTCCTTCAGCTCTTCATCAGGGTAGTTAGATTAAGATTATTTTTAGTTGAGCTTTTTAATTATTATATTCAGAAGATTTAATTTATTAATATTACGGTGCTTTAGAGTCAGTATATTCACTCACTCACTCTCAGTATATCTGGGGATCCCAGGACTTTTCTTACTCTTATCTTAATTGTTACAGCACCACGTCACCTCAGACTCCACCACCACCGCATGTCCGGAAGAGACCACCAGTGCGACGGAGCCGACCAAGCCGGTGGAGGGAATGTTCAAGAACGCTATTGTTATCCCCCCGAACTGCCCTGATGGACAGGAGTGGGTGAATGAACACTGCCGTGACATTTTTAAAAGATAGCTCCTAGTGCTAAGGGATTTCGTCAAAAAGGGTTCCGGCAAATCGCATAGTTAATGAAATCTTAATCAATGTTAAATACGTAATCAGATCAAAATACAAATGTTTTCATAAATCATTTTTAAATATTGTTTCATTTATTTGTATTATAGAATTATTTTTTGTTTAGTGATACAGTTACTTTACTTTGTACAAATAAAAAGCAAAAGAAAATCTAATCACTATCGAATCACTTGATGAAAATTGAGTAAACTAAACCTACCGTGAAAACAATATCATTCTACCAACATTGGTTAGTTTCGATTTTTCTATGATGTCATTTTTTTTTATTATTCTAGTAAATTTTAGCGAGTTAAGTAAGTATAAAATTTTCTCACAATTTTAACAAGTAAGTAAGTATTCTTGCTTACATTTTCATTACAAAACCTATGAGAGGGCAGCTGATAAAATCCATTGAAATTCCATTAGCGGCACGTACTAATTATTAGCTTTTAGCGCAGGAGGCTACCGTGTTACAAGATGATATCTCATCCACTGATGGCCATGATGCTCGCTCTGATGGTCATCACCAGGATCTGTTTATGTCAAGGTTAGTAAAGCGAAAAATTCATCATCATCATCATAATTTTAGCCATAGCACGTCCACTGCTGAACATAGGCCTTCCTCAATGATTTCCATTGAAATCAAAAATTTGATTGAGAATTTTTAATTCAGACTTGGTGAAATCATTTCGAACCATCATCATATTTTTTTACTCATTGAATCTGGTTGTTTATTACCTATTCTGCTTTCGTGACGTCGATGCATCTTTATTCTATGAAAATAATTTAATACTTACAATGTTGGTGTGTTTTACCTACACTAATTTTGTAAAAAGACATTTTGGTTTAATGTTTCTTATTCGTAGAGAATGCCGACTTTGGAGTGGGAGGACACTCAGCGGACGCTAAATTGGTCATCACCCCTCCCAACTGCCCCGAAGGACAAGAATGGCTCTACGGACGGTGTCATGTCGTGTGGCACTATGAATATTCTAAAGATAACTAGTTAAATTTTAAATTAAGAGTGTCTAAACTAATGGTATTAAACTAGTTCCATTGTATTCGGACTGTTGTTTTATTTCAATTACGCTTTATTCAGCAATCCATTTCCCATATTATTGGCAGTATATTATATTGGTAGGTATACAAGAGTAGGAATAATGGGTAAACCACCACAATACCCGATACATACAATCCACCCGAACCGATGTGCATGAAATCAATAGACAATGTAACATTTGTTACAGACACAATTTGTTGATCGCTAAAGGCATAGCGAAGCATTACAAACTTAAATCTATCTCGATTACTTTGGCGAGGGAGGCTGAAGTCGAAAAGTATAATGGTGCTTGTAAAAATAAATTTGAAATAAGCGATAAAATTCAAATAATTTACGGATTAAAAATTATTATTACCAATTTTTCGCCATGTTATAAAACATGCTATGTCAATTTATTTACTTTTTTTTTGTTTCATACTTACTGAAGCGTATAATTTATTTTATGCCTCTGTAGTAAGTATAAATAACAGCAACATCCGTAACCATTGTTACAATTCTGGATAACATTTGTAAGTAAATTACTACTTTACAACCCGGTCGAGTCAACTTCTCACCTCGCTGGAATGCGACTCTCCCTCGCACTCACCCCGCACATCTCCCCGTTCGTTCCAGAGCGTCGAGTGACGTCACGGCCGCCAGGTGTGCAGTATAATACAAGCAACGGCATTATTACCTAACAGAGAAGAAGATATTACATACCTAGTTGAACTTTATTTACAGCTTCCAACTGATTAATTATACCTTGTAGCGTGAAGACGCCATCCTAGCTTGGGAAGATGACATTCCGTCCAATGTTGGTGATGTGTGTGGTGCTGATGCTCGTCGCGGTTGGGCTTTGCCAAGGTAAATATAACTATGATTTGATTTTAAAAATATTTAACTTTAACTATGATTTGACTTAAAAAAAATGTTTAGTTAATTTTCGTAATTTAAAACTTTTCATTTGCAGGTCCCAAGAGTGCCAAAAAGAATGGTGAGTTAATTTCCTATAGAGACTGATTATAATTACGTTAGGTCTATTTTACACCTAAATACTTAATTTTCCTAAATATTTTTTTTTTGTTAAAGTTGACATATAGATAAATTGATATCTTCTAGTAGATCCAATATTATGGAAACATCTTTTTCACTATGCTAAGGATCGACTCTCTAGTCGTGTCATTCACGTACTACTATAAAATAGTAGAAAACTATGGGAAAAATCCTACCTACGCCACACAGACACAATTATGCTACCGAGAGCATGGAGAATGGAGATGATAGAAGACTATCAAATCATGAAACTATGAAATAAATAAAAAAAATCTTTCTTATGAAACACACAACTAGGCACAAGCCTGGCACAGCTTTTATAAAACAACGTGGCGTTTATAAAACAAATATCATGTGATTAATATAAAATTATTTACATATGTTAACAGGATTCGAAGACGTCAGCGGGCTATCTGCGGCTGCTGAAATCGAAGGCATCTATTAGATGATTTCCAATAATCACCTGAAACGTGCAATTTAGCTTCCATTTAAATAAATTTGTACAAGGGTGCATTTGTATGTGTTTTATTTAGGTAAGTAAATTATGCACACCCACATTTCAAAAATGCAGCTAAAGGGATTATAACATTAGTACCTACCTAATACAAAACCCTTCACCAACTTAAGTACTCGGCTACATAACTTCAGCAAAACTGAAAAATAAAGATATTTTAAATCGCAATAAATGACGTCATACTTAGCAGCTGAAACGCAAACCATAAGTAAACGTCCAAATTCAGCTCCAAGAAATAGTTCTGGATACAACAACTGTCCTGTTTATTTGCAAATCGAATCCAGATGCAGTATATTTTGGTCTAGATATTATACAGACATAGCGAAATACAGTTACTGGTAAAGTTTAATATTACTATTTCACCAATGATGTTTTTTCCTGTAATATCTTATTTGTACAATCTTTAAAATCTGTCCAGAATAAACACGTCATGTAAAAAAAATGCTTTTACAGCATTTTTGGGTAAAAAGAATGCAAAATGGACGATTGTGGGTAATGACTGGACAATGTAAGTAGTTACTATGATTGTTTAGTTTATAATAAAATTCATGCATAAAACAAAATTATAGTATGAAATTTTAATTTTTTATTTATAATTAAAAATATTGTACCAATTTTTCGCCATGTTCTATATTATTATGTAATTGATGCGTATAATTCTTTTATGCCTCTCGAGCCATTTTAGCTTTGGAATGTTGGTGATTAGCGTGGTTCTGATGTTCATGGCGATCGGGCTTTGCCAAGGTAAGGTCGTTATTAGATGTTAAAATATCTGCTTAATAATTTTCGCAACTTAAATCTGAAAGTAAAAGGATTTTTCACAAGCAGTCCCAAGAAGACGTTAAATAATGGTAAATTACTACACATCATTTACTACGCTAAGGATTGGTTAATATTTATTTTAGGAATAACTTACACACAAATAGGTACCTACTTAATTTTAATTTGTTTTATCAGTAACTTACTGTGGATCAGCGACATGCTATTAATGGAAACTTATAAATGCAATGTCGCCCAGGCGCAAGTGCATCGCATCAAGAAAAAGTTCTGCATGCATTATATTGAACCACTCATAATAATTTGTTCAATTCATAAGTGTCCCAATCATCATGCCCGCCGAACGAGATGCAAAGCGAGTGCGCCTACTGCGGCCCGAAGCGGTGCGAGGAGCTGGGCGAGCCGGTGCCGTGTTCGGGCGGCACCGCGCTGTGCCGGCCGGAGTGCGTCTGCGTCGACGGCTCCGTCCGGGCCGAGAACGGCACGTGCATACCCAAGGCGGATTGCCGTGAGTTATTGTCTGCGATTAATTACTTTCGTTCGTTCGTTTCAGCCGAAAGACGTCCACTGCTGGACAAAGGCCTCCCCCAAGGTTTTCCACAAAAACCGGTCCTGCACCAGGCACCTCCTGCGACCTTCACCAGATCGTCGGTCCACCTGGTGGGAGGCCTGTCCACACTACGTCTTCCGGCCTATGGTCGCCGGTCCACAATTACTTTACATCAAATTAAAGAAAACAATCAAGCGAAGTCACCGGACTGCTTATTCAAGAGTCGCTAGTTTGATCTTCTTCGACCAGCTGTGTTTATCCCAAAAAAAACAGTGTCATGTAAATGTTGCCAAGACGTATGGCTCGCTTTGCAAAAAGTTATCAAATCGCATGTAAAGCTAAGCTTTTAACTCTACACGCCCTAACTCTACACCACCTTAGTCAAAATATACGTAGCTTCCATTTGCCTCTAGTAGCTTGGAAAGGATCGTGATCCTGCAATGGAGATTAAATTACCTGATGATGATGATGATGATGAATATTTCACCTCCAGCCAGCTGTGGTGGTGATAGAAACGCCACCTCCGGCTGCGGCAACTACTGCGGCAACTCTTGCTCGGACTACAAGGAAGTCAACAAGACCTGCTGACTGGCTGCCTATACAACAGATGCGATTGCAGATATGGCTACGTCTACCATGACAGTTTGAAGAAATGTGTGCTGCCTGTTGATTGTTGTAAGATCATCCGTACTAATATAAATGTGAAAGTTACTCATAGTTACTCATCGTTTGCATTAGCTTCTAAACAATAATGAAAGCCCAAAGTGTAACGTGGTTATTATACATACAATTTATTTATGTTAACAGGATTCGAAGACGTCAGTGGGAGTACAGGGCTGCTGAAATCGGAGGTATTTATTAGATGGGATGCATTCCCGGAATATTATCTATTATTAGCTGTGTTTAGCTTCTATTTAAATAAATATGTAAAGGGTAGAGTTGTATGTTTTATTTTGGTAAAAAAATACTGAGCACACACAAAACCAATGATTTCAGACGACAACTTGTATAGCGAAACCTATTGGAAATATGTTACCCCATACAAGGAATGTATCGAATTTCCGGTCATCCTGTATTACAAAATTATTATATCATGTTTATTTATATAAATTAGAAGGAAGAGACGTTTTAGTATTTTGTATTATATTGCTAAACGAACTTCCGAGAATTTGGCGTAATACCAAGTATTGCTCTTGGTCATGGTCACATACCTACCTGGTACGTAATATAAGATTTACTGTTTAAATTGGTAGATGTTTATAACGATGTATGTACTTCGTACCTAATAGGTACTTATGTGAACTTTAGGGTACACACACAAAGGTACCACGTGTGTACTACTAATACATGAAGTACGACAACACCTGGTATATCTGTCAATTTTACGATTACTTCTTGTTATTTCATGTTTTTGCAAAATGCGCGTTCAAATATCCGGTGTAGTCCGAACTGAATTTATCTGATAACTAATTTCCTATCGATAAAGGGCCATATTTTGCAATACGCCTTACTGGTATGAGTCACTGGGTATAGACGTCATGGTTTTCCTGAAGTCTGGCCGAAGATAAACACACGATTTGTTGTTTCGATCTATATAACGAGAGCCGGCCGGTGTACTCACCACTTGCAACGCGGACGCAGTGCGAAACAGACGTGTGATCCAAGGACTTATTGGGAATTTTAAATAACAATTGGTGAGTACATTTAAAATTAAAAATTATAAATTCATTTATAGTGTTTAGCTACCTATTTAACCTAATGACCAGTGTTAATTTGTCTTTATCATGCATTGTTATGGGTCTGTCAAATATTGAATGTAGAGATGGATAATTAATTTTGCTAAGAGTAATTTTATTAGGTTCGAATTTTCATAGTTATTAGCTAATTATAAAGTAATGAGATTGGGATAGCACCTTACAAAGCACTTATGTGTAGTTGTCATTGTGTCTTTTTGTGGTTAAAGTCAGAAGACACTCTACCGGCATACCTACGTAGTCCTTTGCTTTCTTAAATGGTAAGAGTTTCAGAATGTTTTCAATTCGTAAAACTACATTACTTACCTGTCTAAATATTGCAAATTAATCTAACATTATACATACTACGAGTATATTTTACTTGTCAAATAAGTTGATTATTACAAGTTTATTAGCTATCTAAAAGATTCTTAGCGATAGCGCTAAAGTTCAGTGCCTCTACCATGAGTTTACCTACCGAGCATCTCGCTATCGAGGGCGTAAAAAAATGTATGGCAAATTGTACAGCGCCTCTAGCGGTTAGTAGCTGAACCACAGCAAAACTAAAAACACTACCATGAGTTCATCTCAAATCGTTAGGTAAAAAACCTATCTAAATGAATACGATAGCGACTAAAGTTTTTATTAAGTTTCATACAAATAACTTACCATGAGTTGCAATTTTCAAAGATGTCATCGAAAAATACCTTAGCTGTCACAGTAACGTGACTCACTGGCTTATTGACGTGTGAAAAGCAAAATAAAATTGTGGTTTTAGGTCATTTTAGGTGTTTTCTTTATTAAATTATGTCGGAAAGAAGTTTATTACGATGGAACATGTTATCAGCATGTGGGCAGACCTCCCACTAGGTGGACCGACGATCTGGTGAAGGTCGCGGGAAGAACCTGGATGCGGGCACATTGTGGAGATCCTTGGGGGAGGGAGAGGATGCTGCGTTTCCCAGAGATATGCGAGGGAATTGTGTCGTGCGAAGATGTCTAGCTGTGCTGTGAAAATGTGTGCGGGTTTCCACCAAAGCTGTGCGAGGAAAATGTATCATACGAGGATGTGTAGCAGAGATTTGAAAATGCTCTTTAGTGTTGTACAGCCTGAGCCTTTTCCACCAGAGATGTGCTGACCGAGGCGAGGTAAATGAAGCGATTCTATTGGTTCTTTACAAACACATCCTTCGCTACGCATCCTCGCACATGTCTGGTGGAAACGCAGCCTTACGAGATCATGATAGAAAGCTAATCCAACAATGAATATGTATTTTCATAAGTTGAAATTTACTTTTGTTTTTAATCAGTCTGTGTATTATGTACCTATTAGGTTTTATGAAATAAATAGTCAATAAAAATTAATCATTTTATTTTCAACTAGCTTTTTGACACAGAACGTCATAATTATAGCCTATAATATGTTAATCTGGGTTATAAACAATAATACTGAAAAGTTTCATCAAAATCCGTTCAGTAGTTTTTGCGTGAAAGAGTAAACAAACATCCAAACATCCAAACTTTCGCATTTTTAATATTAAGTAGTAGGATATTAGTAGGATATATTGTATTTCCTTAATTATTATTACTGACGAGATTGCTACCATGTATGTTTAGTGACCATGAAAGAATAAAACAATATAATGTAGGTATTTAATTAATTATAATATCTTAAGTTTTACAATAATATGGTAGGTATGTATATCCATCCAGTTACGCTAGGTCATTATTATGGATTTAATTTACAAGTAGTTATTTACAAGCACTCTGCTCTAAATCCTTTGGCTTCAGGGAAGAACATGGACCGCCACCAGTCCAGTGTTCCCTTGGCAGCTCTGTGTATGCGACTTGCTTTCTTCTTGCTGTTTAAAGTCACTCCTCACCTTAACAAATAAACATTACAAATAATAATGACGAAATAACATAAAAGCAATCAAAATGAATATAGTAGTAGGTATTTATACACACTTTTCTCAATTTCTCAGTAGTTTTCGTGTCGCCGGTGGCATCAGCATTTCACGTTCGCGTGTCCGTTAGTTCCACCCACCGTTGACTATTGTTGGCTCTTTTTTGGGGCCCTTCAGTGGGCATACTCAGATCGCCATATCTATAGAAAAACAACTTTATTGTATCTAGAAAATATAAATCTAGCACTCATATTACTAAATCTAGGCACGTTACTTAGCTAGGCACGTGGAAGTTATGCTGGAAAGGTTGTATTTCTCCAAAAAAAACAGCTCAAAATTATTCGTTTAATTTCGAAATTCCTCCACTACATAGTATGTTTATTTTTACTTAACTTACCTTTCCATAAATTCTACAATCGGTTTAAACGGATAGGCGCAGGTTCTCATTTTCCTATCCTGGTTAAAATCCAATTTTTTGTGGAAAATTATTCATCAAAATCCTTCAACAAAACATGTTTTGTTATCTGTTGTCATGACAACAGCTGCGTCAAAGTCGCAATGACAAGAAATAAACAATACAAATTTAAAATCATCATGTTAATTCAGCTTTAAGCACTGTTCTAGGACACTTAAATTTTGCAGTGTTAATTTTGACATTTTCGTTATTTCCTACTCTATCTTTTCTATATAGTTAGAAAGGAGCGGCATTCGTTCTTTCATTCATCCATTCATAGAGTGTGAAGTTGGATACGTTTACATGCTCACCAACATGACATCACAAAACCATCGAAATATCGCTACCGAGTAAAGTATACGGTAATTGAACTCATGGTATGATTTTAATGCAAACTTCATCGATCCACGTTTAAACTCTATCGACTGTAGTATACGAATACAAGTTTTCGATGGCAACTCATGGTAGAGGCACAGAGCGGTGGAGACAAAAAACTATCGACATTTTGTTGGGCGCTATCTGCTTTTTGGGAACAAACAAAAAGGCTGTAAGTGCGTAGTGGCCATGGACAGTGACCTTCGAAGAGTCGTGACATTGCACGTCCGGCAATGCGGACCAGCATTCCTTAACGATGGTTGATTAGATTTTTTGCCACGAAATTGCTTTCTTCAAAGCTTTGGGCATGGGCATTGAACTGCGTAAATTGAGGGTTTTAGGTGCCTCTTTGTTTCTGAAAGTCGAGTTTAAGTCACATGATTTTTTGATTGTATCTCTGTTTCTAATCGTTGAGTAATACGAGTTCCACCTAAAAAGGTAGAAATAATAAAGTAACTAAAAACTAGTTTAGTCAATCCTGATTTTGTACTCTTTACTAAAAATTTCTCTATAACAATAAAATTCAAGATTTACCTGCGATCAGTCACGATTAAGTAATTTGTAGCTGCAAACATTTTTGAAAGTGGGATATTGTTTTCGCTAACCCTTGTATCTTTTAATCTTGCAGAAATGGCCGACAACCAGAACGACCGCATCGTCTACCCCGACGAAGTAGAGGCCGTCAAAGAGGCAGCTGCGAAAGCTGTTGATAACTCAGCGGGGGATACCAACACTGTTGAAGAAACACCTGCTGAGGCCACCACAGAGACTACAGTCCCGGTCACTGTCTCCACCAGAAACATGATCGTCGTCCCATCTAACTGTCCCGAGGGACAACAGATGGGTGCCGATGGCGTCTGCCGCGTTGTATGGTAATGGAACTGATGCTACTAAACCATCGTACTACTCGGATATCCTCGTTTTTTGTAAAACGTAATTAGTAATAAGTTAAAATTGTGTCAAACCCACCAAATCATTATTTATTGTGTCAACATTTTAAGAAACTGGCTCTACATTTCTTGAATGTTTTATGCAAATTTTAGGTTGGTATATTTCATAAAGAAAATTGAATGTGATGTGATTTTGATAAATTAATCACGATTTTTGGATCTCAGCAACTGAAATTGTAACTGAATTTGTATGGACTGGATAAGTATGTGTTTGAAAGAATTCATGTTAAAGTAAACAGTATTATCCATGTATGTTTTAAGATAAGAATTTGTAGAATCAATCACCTATTGATTTGGTTGCTAACTTAGATTACGATTTTTTTTAAATAAATAATTGGAAAATGAGTATATGTTTCAATTTCAATCCCAATAAACATTAATTTATCGTAAGGATTTTTTGCAACAAATAAGGTTACCTAGTATAATAAAACACACAAGTTTCTAATAATTAACGATCATTTACTTTAAAATATTCATATAATTACATAATAATGGCCTAACTCTGTGATAATTAAAAACAAAGAGTCTAAGATAAAAAATTAAATATTATTCTTTCTATAACCCTGACATCATAAAATATTATTGATATTCGTCTACAAAAATTATAAATAACCCAGCGTTGCATAAGTTTTAACAAATGGAGCATCACTCTCACAGGAATTCCTGAAAAAGAAAATCAGTATTAAAACACGTCACTATGCTATGTTCAAACGTAAAGGTGATCACTCAATGGGAGTAGTTGTACCTACTTGCAAGCATTACACTAGCGAAAGTGTTCATGCGAATATTATAGAGCACCGTCTTTACATTTTGTAACATTGCAGTAACTATTTAGTGCATAAATGAGAGCATCATACTACAAATCCATAAACTGAACACTCGCATTTCGAGCTTTTCAAAAGTCCTTGCCCTTAAAAACTACGCTGGTATGGCATTGGTATAACTTACCTACTTAGGTCCGTTACGATACAACGCCCAAAATTCAATTAGGATTTATGCATAAACTTGTAGCTTGAGTGTAAATTATAACGCTAATAAAAAGTAGAGCGTTATTTCATTAATCCCTTACTATCGAATCATGCAGTTTTACATTACACACCGAGGCATAAGGTGAGTAATCACCTTTATACTTATTTTCACACAAGTAGGTTTATAAGGCGGGACTGTACAGTTGACAGTACGTCAGACTATGCCTACTTACATGCATTTTTTGCGAAAAAATAGCTTCTATTTCAACAACATAAGATGCAACAATGTTAACTATTATGTGTAGTCATCTGTACCTTTTCAATTGCTTTATAACTTTTTATGTCCTTTCCAGGTTTATCGCAATTACTTCGAATTATCTGAGATACAGCGATAAAATTATCAAATATGTATTGTATATAACTTCCAAATTCCAATAATTTCAGGGCTGTTTAGAACTTTACAAAATGTTGCCCAATGTGCAATAAATAGTTTAAACTTTATACCTCCATCTATGGCTTTATTGCATCTACCACCCAATTGTCAAATAAACTGCACACCTAGCGGCTGTGACGTCACATCGACGCTCTGGTACGACGGGGTGAATGCGGGGAGATGTGCGGGTGAGTTCGAGGGAGACTCGCATTCCAGCGAGGTGCGCAGTTAACTTGACCAGGTTTTAATTTAGTGTCTGTGTTGACATGCTTGATGTGTTAAGGTTCAGGCAAACGATCAGATGGCGATCAGACTTAAATGCATTGATCGCCATCGCTGCACGCCGGCTGATCGCGTATGATCGCGTTGGTATGGCTAAATCTTTAAACGTGCATTGTGACATTTTCCTGTAGAATATCTATATATATAAAAGAAAGTCGTGTTAGTTACACCACTTATAACTCAAGAACGGCTGAACCGATTTAGCTGAAAATTGTCAGGGAGGTAGTTTAGAGCCAGGAGAAGGACATAGGATACTTTTTATCCCGTTCGACAGCATTCCCGTGTGACTTGACATGAAACGTCAGTCACTAAAAAGAATCAGTCTTGGAATAACAAACCACGCGGGCGAAGCCGCGGGCGGAAAGCTAGTTAGCCATAATTAACAGTTACTTAATCGGTCGGTGCAATAAAATACTTTTTTTACAAGGCTGAAGAAAAGTAAAAATAAATCATAGCGATTTATTGCTAAAATTAAAGCTCAAAATAATAATAAAACAAGTAGGAAAAGAAGTCTATATCCAGCTGTGTAGAAATTAAAATAAAAAGGGAGTTCAATTAATAAAAAAAATCTATTTAGGTACCTATATTTTTATAAATCAACTTTTTGCCTTAATCTGATAAATAATTTGAACAATGATTTTGAAGAACCGATAAGTATTGTATCAACAATACGTGCATAAATAGTCATAAATCATTGTTTTGAAGGAAAATTATTTGATTATTGCAAGATTTATATTTAAGGATTTTCCGTGTTGTGTTTGTAATTTTGTAATGCTGTAAGCTATTAGCTATTAGCAATTAGTTATATAGGTATATAACAGTTATTGATATGCTGTGAGTGAATTTACAAACGTATATCAGACAAAATTAATATTCTTCCAATAAAATGAATAGTTGAAAATAAAATGATAAAATTGCACTCTACACTACTTACCTACTTAAATGGGTAGAAGAAAATGTGCTCCTGAGGCCACGCTTAAACTTGGCTTACTTATTAAGTTCTAATTTTATAGAAAGCCATACTTATTTGTATCAGCACTATTTTTGAATGCAATTACCGTATCAATGAGATCTAAAACAGCGCTGATGTTTTAATTCAATTATTTGGAGAATTTTGCGATAGTGGAAGCGATATGATAATGACTTGAAATTCAGATTCGATTACTGAAGGGCTTTCAAAAATACGAGTATGGAGTGCTGAAAATAATTTCAAATTCATTCAGTCTGCTAAAATTGCCTGCAACTATGTACCTACTTATTTAGTCTCTACAAAAGCAGTAGGTAAGGTAAAGTGGATGAACAATGGTGTCCTAATAATAACTATTAGAATCCAAGGATAGAATTCTTGTAGGTAATACAAGTCTCTGTAGTAATATGATTCAGAGATGAGCTCTACCTACTAGGAGCAGGAGTCGTGCATAAACATTCACACGGGATAAAATACACAGACGTGGTGCATGGCTACAAATGTTTAAAACAGCATAATGTGAACTAAATATTTTAATAGCTATAAAAATAAATCTACGTGTAACTGAACAATGCACAAACTAAACTCACGATTACTTACTCGTCCTCCCACGGACATATGTCGTTCCGCTTACGCTCGCCGATGACGCTTTTATTATCACGCTTAACAATATTTGATTCAGAGACCGACGACAGTTCGTCTTTGTGAGCAATATTTCTCGCGTCCGACTCGGATGCCGCCTCGGGAGCCGAGACCCGCTGCATGGGCGCCGAAGGCACTTTGTCTACGTTGTCGTCGTCGACGCCGATGTCCTCGCAGACGGCGAGAGGCGCGACCGGCGCGGCGGCCGGCGGCCCGGCGACCGGCGGCGCGGCGGCCGGCGGCGGCTCCGGCGGCTCCGAGGCCTCGCTCGACTCCGCGGCGGGGCATGGAAGATCGGCGATTTGACTATCTTTACTTGAGGCCGGACTCGTTGTTCCTATCAAGAGTTCACTCGCACTGTCCACGGTCACTTCCACTCGCGGTTCAGTTCGGTCGTGGAGGGAGCGCGAGGGGTCGGTGGGCGTGGCGTCGGCGGAGGCGAACACCGAGGGCGGGTCGTCGGAGGCGGGCTGCGAGCGCGGCTCGTCGGGCGACGCGGCGCCCGAGCCCGCGGACTCGTCGTCGGGCGCCGAGCTCACGCTGATGGTCGGCGTGGGGTGCGCCACCGCCACCGCCGCGCACGCGGGCGGCGGCGCCGGCCGTGGTCGCTGCCAAACGAAACCATATTGAGATTTATGCCCGTTTTCACCATCAAATCCTAATTTTTAAGTGACCCCTATGGTAACACATTATATGAATATTGTATTCATAAGGGTCATTTAAAAATTAGGGATTAATGGTGAAAACGGGCATTAGACCTCTATTCATGAGGAGTTCCGTATAATTCCGTTCCATATAATTGGAGTAGATAAGGCCGTTATAAGATTTTTATAAAGGACGAAGCACTTATCAACCTGGAAACGGATCGTAACCGTATCAACTCGAGGAGGTCAGTATTCTTTCTATGAAACTCCATACTGTAACGCACACATATCCGCACCGTAACGTAAACGCCACGCCTCGCGGCGAAAGGCGGTACGTTGGTGTGCTAATAACCTTAAATCATACGGCCAAAGAATAGGATTCTATGCGACATTAGTGTTAAGATGACTCCATAAAACTTCAAGACTTTAAGGTAAGAGTGAATAATTGGCGTCTTCTGTTCAAGCTCTTTAAGCAAGGGGTAAGATGATTGTAAGGTACCTCCACTTTGTGCAACCCAGGCAACGACAACGTCCGCGTGTTTTATCCACGCGAAGCAAGTACTAACACTCACCTAAAGTAGGTTCGATTTTTGTATGTCACACACACCTAAACAACGGTCTTTCTAACACCTACCTCTATTGGCTTCGGTTCGTGCGGCGGCGACCCCAGCGGCGCGAGATGGCGCGGCTCGACGGCCGACAGCCGCCGGAGCGGCGGCGGCGCGCCTCGGAGACCTCCGTCTAACGTGCTCTGCTGCGGTAAACGCCGAGTCCTCTCTGCCACCTAAAAGAGGGAACATTTATGTTAAAGTATTTGCGTTAACATTCAGAAGACAGCAGGGTTCAGATGAGTTGCCTGAGTCAGCAGCAGACTCCTTTCTTTAACGACTGGCCATAGTATGTACACATCATCAATACGTTAAGTCTCCTACTGCAGCCTTGAACAATTTACCAGAGGCAAAAATGAACAATTTGGCGTACACTCCCCACACTGTTAAGACGGATTGCGGAGATCTGCCTGAAGTTCGCATGTTTCTTCCTAGTTTCCTCATACGATATGTATGGAATAAGTGGTGGGTTTTACTTTGTCGGAACCACACAGCACAGCTAGTACACATTACATCCTTCCAGAATATACTGCTGTGATAAAAAACCCTCTCAAGACAGTGATAATGGTCGCTTACCGCGACAGCAGAGCTGCCTGAGTCCGCAGTAGAGTCCTGTCTTCACCGCCCAGCCACGCTGCACATACCCTCCCGGGACGAACAGTTGTAATTTAGATCCTTATGAATACAGTGATAGAGGTCACTAACCGCGACAGCAGCGCTGACGTCAGACGATGAGCTGGCCCGAGTCGGCAGTGGAGTCCTGCCTTCGCCGCCCAGCCACGCTGCACATACCCTCCCGGGACGAACTGTTGTATGAGGGCTATCGTTTTTATACTTAACAGTTGGCACCCCTGGCGATTGACAGGACCTTACTCTACAGTGGCGCCATCTTGATGAGTGCAAATGCGATAGTCCTCCTACCGCTTTCGCGCTCACCAGCTGGCGCCACTGTCTTCGCTACTAGCAAGTGACAGGACCTTACTCTACAGTGGCGCCAACTGGTGAGCGCTAAAACGATAGCCCTCATTAGAACCTTATGGATACAGTGATAGAGGTCACTTACCGCGACAGCGGCGCTGACGTCAGATGATGAGCTGCCCGAATCAGCGGTGGAGTCCTGCCTTTGCCGCGCAACCACGCTGCACATACTCTCCCGGGACGAACTGTTGTAATTAGATCCTTATGGATACAGTGATAGAGGTCACTTACCGCGACAGCAGCGCTGACGTCAGACGATGAGGTGCCCGAGTCAGCCGTAGAGTCCTGCCTTCGCCGCCCAGCCACGCTGCACATACCCTCCCGGGACGAACAGTTGTAATTTAGATCCTTATGAATACAGTGATAGAGGTCACTAACCGCGACAGCAGCGATGACGTCAGACGATGAGCTGCCCGAGTCGGCAGTGGAGTCCTGCCTTCGCCGGCCAGCCACGCTACACGTACCCTCCCGGGACGAATTGTTGTAATTCGATCCTTATGAATACAGTGATAGAGGTCACTTACCGCGACAGCAGCGCTGACGTCAGACGATGAGCTGCCCGAGTCGGCAGTGGAGTCCTGCCTTCGCCGCCCAGGCACGCTGCACATACCCTCCCGGGACGAACTATTGTAATTAGAACCTTAAGAATACACTGATAGAGGTCACTTACCGCGACAGCAGCGCTGACGTCAGACGATGAGCTGCCCGAGTCAGCCGTAGTCCTGCCTTCGTCGGCCAGCCACGCTGCACACACCTTCCCGGGACGAGCTGTTGTAATTAGATCCTTATGGATACAGCGATAGAGGTCACTTACCGCGACAGGAGCGCTGACGTCAGACGATGAGCTGCCCGAGTCGGCAGTGGAGTCCTGTCTTCGGCGCCCAGCCACGCTGCACATACCCTACCGGGACGAACTGTTGTAATTAGAGCCTTATGGATACAGCGATAGAGGTCACTTACCGCGACAGCAGCGCTGACGTCAGACGATGAGCTGCCCGAGTCAGCAGTAGAGTCCTGCCTTCGTCGCCCAGCCACGCTGCACATACCCTCCCGGGAAGAACTCTCCCACGGCAGAACGTCCGCCGTGTCGTCGTCGAGAGGATCCCTGAAAGGAATGACGTCCGTATTATGATGTGGGAAGGGTTAGAATGCCTTGCTTAAAACTTAGTAAAGACCATTCTTAAATATGCTTCTGTTGCGTCATGCGTCACAACAACGGTTGTGTTAGTAGATATAGGTAATTCTTGCAAAAAAGCTCGGGCCGATATAAACTTATTTTAGGTAGTTAGAAATGCTTAGTCTGGTTATCTGGTAGGTTGATTTATTTGGGTTACTTACCTGAAGGGTATGTCAGCGAGATTGGACTGCGAATGGCTATGAGGTGGCGGTTCGGGCGCGCGTGGTGGCTGCAAAACAATATTGTCATTGTGATCAAATTTATTTCATGGTTAAAATCGTAACATAATATTTCTATAGCTAGCTTAGATTTGTAGAGTCAGTCAATTTTCGACATCTCTTTATTTTGTGATGACTAAATTGTTGCTTTGTTGCCATCATATTTTGAAGAATACAGTTTGTTGTTGAGTGAGCTGAATTTACAGAGTTAGTTGAAATAGTTTCGTTTCGGCGTTTTATTATGCAGTTACTTCACTCGTGAAGCGATTGTCAAGAATATTTTTCTAGGCCTCCTGCTCCTGATAAGAGAAAATTCAAAAGGAAGAATTTGTAATCTTGCTAAATTGTTTCTTTCTGTCACCATTTTCAACTGAAATGCTGTTGAGATAAGGTTTATTTTACCTGTGCCGCACACACGGCCAACTCGTGCGCAGAGCCCGACAGCGAGCGGTCGGAGCCGCGGCGCCGCGTCAGCGCGGAGCCGCTGCCCGAGCCGCTCGTCGAGCCCGGCTTTTTCTTCACTTGTCCGCCGAAGTTGAAGAACCTGCGGGTAGTGATGTTTTATTTAAGTAAAATAAGAGCATAAAACTTTACATACCTAGGTATATAAAAATAGAAAAATCACACTTCTTGGAAAGAGTATCTGAATGTGGCAAGAGTCATTGTTTCTCTTCTGTTCAATATACATACATCATATTTTATGTCACAAATCGGTATTGAATGTTTCCTAAATTAAGAATGTTATATGCTACATGAAGTGCGTTAATTACTTATGCCGAGTAAGTATTCTTTGTTCAACACGCAGTTCATACACGTGGCAAACAGTAAGGTACACTTCTTCAAACAATCTGTTTTATCTTATCCCGTCTATTTCTGTTAGCAGCAGGCACTCACTTGGCCTTTTCTGGTGCACGTTGCAACCATCAGTCAGAAGCCGCTGAAAGTGGTCGGAGCATATTCGTGTGCTCCGACCACTTTCACCGTCCTTCTTCAGCAGTACAGTCCGTACATATGTGATCAGCAGTACGATTCTAGTCAATCCCATTTCCTTCTTTCGATACTCACTTGGCTTTCTTTTGGTGCACGTTTCGACCCTCAGTCAGAAGTCGCTGAAAGTGGTCGGAGCGCACGAATCGTGGGTAGCAGTCCTTCTTTAATAGCAGTCCATACACGTGGTCCGCTGCGTGATCGAGGGCATATCGCGAGCCTGAACGTAGGCCCTCGTTCACGCGTTCCGCCGTCGCGCCGTCGATGTTGATCTCGCAAGGCGCGCCCGGCTTCAGGAACTCTCTGAGAATGAGACATAAATAAAGTAAGTACCTAAGTAAATATTGAAAACGCAATGCGCCTTATAAACACTGATCAACCCAAAAAATATTGTCAATTTGATTGGTAACCTTTTGTAAGGTTTGGTTGGCCACAGTCAGAGGAGTAGGTAATAGATCAGGGAAAACATTATAGGTATACTTAGGTACATGTCTTATATTAAAGACATACAAAAGCTGTTTGAAAGAAAGAAAAATGTTTATGTCTAACATTTGCTTTCTGCAGAAATTGAATCCTTGACCGCAGCTTCCGCAGCTGACGGCTGACTGACTGCAGAAATGGCTTAGTAAATCCAAGAAATCGTACACAAAATGTTCTGTGCAATCAAGTTGTAGGTACTTACTCGTAGATTTCCTCAAGTTTCTTGGGTATTTGCTTGGTGCTGCTTCGTCGTAAGTCCATAACTGCCAGCCAGAAGCGAATGTTTTCGTGCGAATACTCCTTGCGGAGGAAGCTGGTGAACTCTTGCAGCCCCGTGGGGTCTGACACCAGCTCCTCGATGGATAGCGCCCATCGCTGCACGCGCTTTTCACTCGGAACTTCCACTCTGCGAAGGAGATTTTTAGTTTTAGGAATAATTTTCCTCTGCAACTGATACTGAAAGTGTTTTATGCTAGTCTACTAGAGTAGTAAAGTTAGCTTGGGGTCTTTACTGGTAAATATATAAGATTTTAATAACCAAATGACGGAGATTACCTCTTTGTTAATACTTTACAGAATCTTATGAAAAGGAATTGATAATAACTACAAGTTTGTAATTTAGTGTTAGCAGTAATCATGCAGAAGAATTACAAGGTAATAAAGAACTCACAGAGGGCTGTTAATTTGCCAAAAGAGGGTGTCGTCGCTAACCCAAGGGTTGGAGGGCTGCGGCGGGGTGAGCCAGGGATCGTAGGGAGCGAAGGTCTCCGAGTAGGCCACGAGGGCCTCTAGGGCAATTGAAGTCTTCACTCGCGTGCGGTCCAGGCTCACTTTTAGATGTTCGATCTAGAAGTATGGAGAATGAATGAGAAAGGAAGATATTGTTCCAAACAGAACTATTACATAACACAGCTCAGATCTAATCTTCTATAATACTTAGACGACTTGATAGTTTTCCAGACTTACCTCGAGGAGCTTACCTTAGGGTCATCTGAGTTGCGTCATAAAAGGCCTTTAGCTGGATTAAGATATTACTCGGATATTTAGACAGCACTCACCTCTCTGGTCAGGTGGTGGATGGTGCGGCGCTTCGGTCGCGGATGGCGCACGCGCACCGGCACAGGGCACGGCTCGAGCGCACTAGCGACCCCTGGTGGAGGCCGGGCTACTCGCCAGTACGCTCGCTCTTGGCTGTCCGACACTATCTTATCGCCCTTTTTGCGCTCTTTCGCCAGACGCACCTAAAATTGATGAACTGTATAAAATAGGTTCGAAAACAAAATACAAAGATTAAATACATGGTTTCTATATATAAGCTGTACCAGAATCTCATGGCAAATAGGGAAAATAAACTTTGTTGAGAGCAATACTGGGGAAATTGGAATAAACGACCTTGATACTGTTTAATTTTTTACTTTTATAACTTTAATATTAATATACATTTTAGGTAGGTATGTGTATGAAGAATGTTGTTAATACATCGGGTTTTTAACATAGGAAAATGTCTTGAAAAATAAATAAATCGTATTATTACTTTAAACTAAATAATTTTATTATGCATCATACTTTTAACTTATCACTTCATTCAGAAATAGAAAACGATTCTAAGAACTCCACTTGCAATTTCTTGTTTTTCAATAGATGATCAAGATAAAGAGATAAAATCCCTTCAGTTTTCTTTACATGGTCATAACATTTTGACCATTCCTCTGCACCAATTTGTGAGATTCCCACCTCTCTTTCCCACACCGCTGCAACTCCTGTGTAGCCAGGATCTACAGCTTGACCGACAAATAACCCATCCAGTGAAGGTCAAGTTTGTCCCGGGAGTTAGTTAAACTGTCATTGGACCCACAACGAAATTAATCAGAAGAACGAGTGTCGAGGTTTGTGAGTGTTTCGTGCTCATTACCAAAGCCTTACCTTGCACCCAGCTCAAGGTGTGCTAACAAAGTTACCTGTTCCTCAGCTTGCATGGTGATAAAGTCCCATTTGGCGGCGAGATTCTTCTTGAGGTTGGCGAGCGTCTCCTGCTCGTACTCCTCGAGCCCGTGGCGTTGCTTGTTCCGTAGTGTGCGTTTGACCAGGTATATGGCATACTCCACGTTGTCGGGGCCCAGGGTTGGGGCGCTGGATCCACTGCCGGCCACCCGAGGCGCTTGCCATGGCCAGTAGTATGGACTCTGTGGGTTGATTTTAATATTGTACAGGCGACAGAACATAAGCTAAGACTGTGGCATCTTAATTAGATGTAATAGATCTGATTTGCAATAAATAGTGTATAGTCTGATTATGCTGTCGACTGTACATAATTTAAGTAAAAAGTTGGTTTAGATAATATATGTATATTGAATTTATCTTAAACACTGTAAAGTATGAATACTTACTTGAAATCTATAAAGAGATGAGTCATCTTTTAACACAAGGTTTTTCAAATCGTTGACGGGGAAGAAGTAACCATATTGGCAGAGTTGATTGGCTAAGTTTATTGCTTCAACTGAAAATTACGTAAAAAAATATAATTATTATTTAATTTATTTGGTGAAAAGTGACACACAAACACTACTTTGCATACGAACATACATTTATCGTGCCTATAGACATGAAGAGAAATATTTCAGTAGATACAAATAGCCAACATTTTGTAAGGCGTTTTATACAGTAATAAATTAATTTCATTAATATTCTAGTTGTACATCAAGTGACATCAAATTGTAGCACACACAAACATTGAAGGCGAGAAGTATTTAGCTGATGTGTGACACAAGAAGCATAGTTCAAAGTTATCCAATTGAGGACGTAACTCTGGTGAAGCAGTTACGTGGTCACAAAATTTTGAAGGTATCTTTTGCTCATGGCTCTGTTGTGGTAAAATGGTAAATTTGGAAAAAATCTGTCTGTAGTATTGTCGCCTATTACATATATTATTAAATAATCTAAATAGTGGATATCAAACATTTTAAGATTATTAAAAAAGGCTCCGTATTCTGAAACGACACTTGAAACTGGATTCAATTTCAAGCATTAATTTTAAGCCCGTTGGTTGAATTTCAGCCCATCACAATTTATATTTTCTTTTAAGTATAGTTTCTTATTTGAGTATCGTTTCAGAGTTCAGAGGTCATAGTGGGTTTAAGTAATATGTAGAGAACTAACTTTGAACAAATTACAATAATATTTTATGAATATAGAAAGAAAACCTTTTCCTGTAGATATTAATATTGGTCATAAATTACCAGAATAAGGAAGGGGTAAATACGTGTACTTAGTTATTTTTTTTCATAAGTTGATTAGTTTTTTCAATTAAGAAAATATTTGTGTGTTTATAAATAGAGTAGGTAGTTGCTTTTATAAACACACATTTTGCAAATAAAATTGAAGATAAAATACGCTTGCAGCTGTTGAACAAACCAATAAGATAAATAAATATGTCTTTTTAGAGCATGATGTCGTCACCAATTTGTCGTCTTTTCACAATTCTTCACATCAGAACTTTAATGCCAATTGGTTCCGTGTTCCATGAGCAAAATCGTACCTGCCGCCATTGAAACAGACAGATGTCGAGGCAGTACATACAGCATGCCAAGAACTTGAATATAACATACATATCAACGCTTGTGGGAACTCGCTATGGCTAGACTCTACTGGGTTTCGCCGCCGAGAGAATATCCAAGCTCCAACGCCGCTTATAAAACACTCACCGTTGCTTGTTTCATCGAGATTAAACCGTTCCATTAGCCATTCGACAAGATCATAACCTGTGAATGAAAATTACATATTGTTACTTATGAGGTTCTGCTTACCTGACTCCTAAATGTCATGAAGCGCTAATGTATGCATATGGATATTTTGTACTATATTTTCCTGAAATTGTACTCTTTAAGTTTTCAGCTTATTTCGGGTATTTATTTAAATGTCCCAGTGGGAAGACACCAATTTTATGCTAGTAATGTAGCCTACCAATAAAATGTTCATTTAATTTACTTGCACATTGTTGTTTGCCACTTATTTTACTGTATTATTTATTTACTAGCGGCCGCCCGCGACTTCGTACGCGTGGATCCCATTTTACCCCCTTCATCTATCTTACGCGGTTTAGATTTTTTCATACAAATGTTTTTTCCCGCTAACTCCCGTTCCCGTGGGAATTTTGCAATATCCTGTTGTAACTAAGCTTTAAGAATTTATTATTATTTATTTATTTATTTATATTAACCGGCAGACTGTGGTGACTGAGTTTTTTGCGGCGCTTCTTCTTAGCACTTGCCAAATGTTGGTCTCGAAGCGCTGGTAGGGTAATAAGATTATGAGACATGTAGAGGCTCCTTAAGAGCAAAATGACGATTTGTAAGAACTATTTATTAGTCCAAACAAATAAAGAAATTTTGACTTTTGACTTTGATTTTGACTAAGTTTACTAAGATACCTGCATGCCAAATTTCAAGCGTCTAACTTAAGAGCGTTTACGTCTAGCGTGGCATGTCAAGTTTAGGTAATTTCGATGCTAGTTTTATTCACACTAAAATAATTATGACTGTGTGCGTGTTCTCACGCTCTATAGTCAAACCAAAATACTTTGATCCACCATCGTAAAAGTGTGCCAGGCTGTCAAGTGACAGCTCAAGGAAACTATAAAATCTTCAAATCTTCCAACACCGACTCCATAATTATAAATAATGGTATACATTAGTCCTAATCAATAATAAATACGTAAATTCTTTATCAAATAGTAAATTATCAAAGGTTTTTTACTATTTTGAGAATATATGGTATTTCACGTTCTTTTAATTTGTGATTTCTTATTGTAAAATGCTTAAATCTAAAAATTTTCTCAGATAACTATTTGCCCAAGGATCTATGCCATAGGATATAAATGTTTGTTAAATCGTTTTCACAGTATTTTTATAAAAATTTCAGCTTGTAAACTGATGCTAAAGTGGAAATTTACAAAACCTGTGTGGACATATCTTGATAGAATTCTTAAATTCTAAACTAATCGCAATATTTTCTCAATTAACTATTTAGACGACGAAATTGCCTAACTATTTATGCCTATAACATATTTGTAGTATTACTGGTTAATGATTGTAACGAGTTGAAAAAGTACTGTTTTTGCGCCAAACGGCGTAAACGCTCTTAAGCGGTTTAGATTTTTTCATACAAATGTTTTTTCCCGCTAACTCCCGTTACCGTGGGAATTTTGCAATACCCCGGTGTAACTAAGCTTTAAGTTTACTAAGGTACCTGCATGCCGAATTTCAAGCGTCTAACTTAAGCGATGTAGATTTTTCATACAAAAGGATTTTCCCGCTAATTACCGTTCCCGTGGGAATTCCTAGGTATACTATAACCTGCCCAGGAGTATGAAGAATAATTGTACCAAGTTTCGTTAAAATCTGTCCAGTAGTTTTTGTTTCTATAAGGAACATACAGACGGACAGACAGACAGACAGACAAAAATTTTACTGATTGCATTTTTGGCATCAGTATCGATTACTAATCACCCCCTGATAGTTATTTTGAATATATATTTCATGTACATAATTGACCTCTACAGATTTATTATAAGTATATAGATTACATAAATAGTTTGCTTCGATAGGAAAGATCTATGTTCGTAAAGTTTACACTCACAGATTGTCTCTGCAGCCTATCGGTCCTCAAAGAAGCTTTATTTTTATGGGTGAAACGAGCGATTTGTATTTAATTGAATTTTCCATCATTGATTGTGAATAGGAGAGCTCAAACACTAAGCTCAAACACAGCAATAGATGACTCTACATTTTAGTTGAAGTGACAATAGGGATGATGACTGGGTGATGAAATCGAAATTCTATTTAGTCCGTCAGACAGATAATTAGAAAATATTAGACTCATAATTTTTATTTTTTTTTCATAATCGAATAATCACAGTATTATATTGAGTTGAAATGACGCGTGACGTCACTTTTGAGTAAAAATTCTACTCAAGCGTGACGTATCGCGCCATTTCAACTCGATGTAGCACTGTTATTATTTAATTATGAAAGAAAATGAAAAATATGAGTCTAATATTTTGTAATTATCTGTCTGACGGACAAATGATTGAAATTTTGTCATCTAGCCTATTACATTTTACTTCGCACTTCTCCTTTAGTTGCCAACGGCATCTACGGGAAAATCTACGACTATTCTTCTCTGGAACAACATTCTAAACCCAAACCATCTGGCAAGCGTGGGGAGAGTAGGCCAAACCTATTCCATTTGCCTCTGATAAATTGTAGAGGTTCTTGTTCCTACATTGAAGAATGACCTGATGATGATGATGATCTTAATTAACATAATTAAGATTAACATAACATATTTTTGAATGGACGCGATCAACAGTGCGGCCCACATCGCTAATCGGCGCGTAGCGTGCGTGTTACGTATTGCCAGTTACATATACCGCCATTGTGAGGCACGTGTTAACATATTGAATTCATGTAACAAATGTTTCAGCGAATGTAATAACGGCTGGTCATTCATAACTCTGAAACTGCTAGCTAAAATCAATCGGGCCAGTTGGTACTTTTGCTGACCAAATTCAACCAATCGCTATTAGTCCAGTAGAATTAGCTTTTAAATCGGAAATAATTACGTACGGTGAGTGCCAGGAAGAGGTGCAGCAACCGCAGTTAAGGAACGGCTGGGACGAACAAGGATAGGCGCATCAAGCTCGTAAGCCTTGATAGGGTTACACTGGTTGAGGTGGCCCTTTTCAAGACTTGGAAGCCTATGGGTAACAAACCATTGGACATGGAGAGGGTCATTAATTATACGTATATTTTCTACTTTGCCGAACTTTAGCGCGAGAACGGTTTGTCCAAAACATATGAATTTGGTCTTATTCAATGCAGGATTAGGTGCCCTTAAACCGTCATGAAGACCACTTTTTGATAGGGTAAGTCCTTTACGCGGTATAACCGGAAAACCGAAAAAATGCCCCTTTCGGGGGCCCCCACCACTTAAGCACAACTCCGTCGAAGTCGAAAACTTAGGAGAGTCTTAATGGGCAACCAATGAAGCCATTAAAACCATAAAATCTTTTGTAGGAATTATTTCCGATTTAATCAATTTTTGTGTTTAATTCTACTGGCCTATATTGCGCGATGCCTTTTTCAAATTAGTTTCGTGAGCTATTTTAGCATTTAGGCCTCTACAATTTTCCGTGTAACGGAATCTGTCAAGTCAGTACTCCTTTAATATTATTTTGTGGACATGTCCACAAAAAGTTCACACTAAATACATGATCGCATCATGATGTGAATAAAAAAAAAGATTAACTCTTTGATGATTTTAAAACCATAAAGACTATTACTTTCTAGTTAGTAATGTAGCTTCAAATACATAGCTATTTTTAGCATGATAATTCGTGCATTTTCTTCGAAACGCTAAATAGCAATTTTTAACAACCACCGTGCGGTACCTATCATTTCGAGCTACTTATTTCGTAATTTATTTCAAACAGTAGCTTAAATGGCGTGCGCTTTTTGCGATCAGGCAACACAGCTAGGCCTTTTCCATCATTATACATACAGTTCAAAATTACGGACTACTGAAACCGCACGTAATGTTATGTAGAGTCAGGGGAGGGTTACGTAAAGAACGGCTTTCCGGTACTGACTTGAATTTTGCATTAGGCACGTGTGTATAATAACTAGCTACGTTTGCTGTCCGGATTTAGAGGCAAATTTACCTAATGTGTTTTGGTTTGAAAATGTTTTGATTTTTATGAAATTAAATAGTTAGTACAAGTTAAACTCAACGTTCTTAGCCAATAAGTACAATAGTCGCAAGAAAATGGAAAATATTTGAAAAAGAAGGGTGCCAATGGCATCTGAATTTTTGAAGGTTCTTTTCAGTATAAGTTACCTACTGTGACTCAATATTATCCCTAAGTGGTGCTTAGGCAAGAGCCAAATATCATAGGCTTGCATTTATCAGCTACATGTACAGCTGTTTTAAAAGCCTCATTTCAAAACAAAAATTAATTTTACATAATATACTTATGCAGATTGCTTACATTGCACCGAACGATAGATTATCTTGCGCAAAACCTGTTAATACTCGTACTTAAGTACTTATTGGTATTAAAACCAGCTTTCTTATTATGCAGTTGCCCTTAGCCGAAATATCTAAAGTCGGGGCAGACATACTAGGCGATGTAGTATGTTGGGTTATTGATTTTACAATCAGACTGTCCCTCCCTGCGGAATACTTTAGTTAGACGAACGCCGTATAGTAGAGATCTTTGGAGATTAGCAAATACTATGTAAAATATTTAAGAATACGTTGTTTGAAAACTTTCATTATTCAAGTTGACTGTGTCGCGATGTCGTTTATCAAAGTAGACGGGGTTATTTGTCATGCTTTTTTGTAAAATTAAATGATTGTAGCTAGTTATATTAATTTAGATATTTCATTTAAAAATATTTTTATCAATTTAAACAGGTTCTGTTTATTTTATTTGTACAAAAACACATAGAATACAATCAACAAAGGGCAATTATGCAACACGAAAGTTTAAAATTAATTAAATTATTTTTAATTACGCTGCCGATATTGCAATGACAAAGCTAGCATGATATTTTATGCAAATGGTCATTAGTTTGAGTAAAAAATATTAATTAATTATGAAGGCAATGGTTTTACTCTTGAAATATTCATATAATATTTAAGACAGCATAATATTAATAACAAAGCCAATTTAAGTGCAAACCGAATGAAAATAAAAGTTTTTATTTGTACACTCATACAATACTCGTATTAACCTAATTTATTGATATCAAATATGTATGGAAACGCGGTGTATTTGAAATGCTGAGTTGCTGAGTTTTAATAAATAATTGTCTAATAACAGAAACGCAGACAATTAAACTGTACTTATTTGAACATATTAATATTATAATTGAGTAAGTATGTCAAATAAATATATAAGCATCTTTTTCCGTATGTACTACAAGAAAATATGGTATAAAATGTCCTGAAGCACTCACTTTTACGGGATATATGTACTCTGTACTGTAATCTTATAAAATATCATACATAAAACTAAAACTCACCCATAAAAGCAGACGGTATGACACTAAGAAAAAGTTTTTGACTTCGTACTGGTACACCCGTTTCTGGATCTTGCATTTCTTTTATCAAACTTTCCATCTGCAAAGAAAAAATAATTATTTAAAACTTTCGGAATTGGAACGGGTTTCATTGAAATAAAGTTTAAGTTTTCTATAGGTTGGCACGAGTAGGTACATATGGGGCAAAAACGTGAATAGGTATACCTAATTAGTCATTACAATAATATAATCGTCGTGAAGATATCTGGAAAAACTTTAAGTGAAAAATTAAGAGACGAGTCGAGACAAAAATAACAAAAGAATATCGTAATTTTACTGGTGGTCAAGAAAAAGAATGCAGTTTTCTTTTCTTGGTGGCCAGTGTCGCGCAGGCAAGGCGGGCGGCCGTGTACGAGCGCCTGATCAGCAATAAACTCTTTTCATACACCTCTCTCACTCACTTTGAGATTCTGAGATGAGTAAGCGAGATTTCTACATAAATGATAAGTTAGTAAGTTAAAATAAGTTGCAGTAGAACGTCTTACAACCTACATTAATCGATATTTCACGAAAGGAAAATGCTGAAAATGACCATCTACCTACTATATGGTCATCTAAAAGCATATTATTTAAGCGATGCCAATGCTCGATATATGATATCCAATAAGGTAAAGATTTTAGGGATAGCTATTTAAAGATCTAAGATTAAAAGTACCGCAAAAGCTGTCACTAACAGCTGTCTAAACCGTTTTAATTGAACATTCATATGAATGTTTCATAACCGTTGTGAAGCATCGATCGTTTCAGCATTTCAATTATTCACTCAACTATGGCAGTATTATGCGATATAAGTAGGCACTTAACTGTTAAGCTAAAACCGTCGCATCGGGAAACAACTCCGTGCATAATGCATGCGACGACGGCGAAACTGTTCACATAATGATCGGTATTGCTTTTAATTACTGGCGCCAACTACTGGTAGAAAGGAACGATTTTGTCGCGGGTTCGTTCCACTAACAATACCATTTAATGGTGAAACCTAGTATCTAGGTCGACGCCTTTATTTGAAACCTAAAATTGTAGTTTTTAGGAAGAAGTTTAATTTTTCATTCTCGGATGTAATTTTTTCATGAGATCCGAGTAAATTGTGTTATTATTAAGCAGTAAATGAAATAATATAATATTACTTATCTCTGTTTCTTCTTCTTTTTAATTATCTAAGTGCCATAAATGGTTCCTCTTCTTTAATTTCATAGTAGCTTTGATTCTACGATCGTGTTTCTTATCGCGTGACGCTGTAGAGTGTTTATCATAGCCTGAAATCCATGCTGCTAAGTAGTCTATTACATTATTTACTAGACAAATTATGTACCTACATGATTAAACCAATTAATCACAGCTGATACAACGCTGCAGCCGGCCTGTTACGAACTAATGTCCCTTCAGCTGCACAGCGCGGCAATTAGTTTGGTGGTGACAGCCAGCGTTATGTAACCCAAACTGATGGTAGCAGCGCTGTAGTGGTAGGTTGTACTACTGCTTAACTACTTAGTGTTATAGTTTTGTTTATGTGTATTTTATTCCTACAGTTTTTTTTTCTAGGGAGCGGTATTGTCTGTCGTAAGTAGATTAATTCAGGAAGTGAAACAAATAAAAGGGAAAACAAAAATATTGAAAACCAGCTTTTGCCCGCAGCTTCACCCGCATGAAATTTAGTTTGTCACATATCGTCATAAATTATAGCCTAATGTTATTCTGTAGATCTAGGATGCGCGCCGCGATAAGCAGTTATCACGCCATTTTATCGATTTTGCCCATACATTTTGACGTCGATAAAAGTTATCACGGCGCGCATCTTAGGCCTACTGGGTTATAAACAATAATACTGTAAAGTTTCAACAAAATCCGTTCAGTAGTTTTTACGTGAAAGAGTAACAAACATCCAGACATCCAAACTTTCGCATTTATAATATTAGTAGGATGACATTGTATTAATATTTTAGACCTTCTACCTACATATAGCCTGACCAGGAACATAAAAACCCTGGCATAGAGGCGCTTCAATTGCATTTGATAGTGCAACACTGAGTACAGTCGTACCTGTGTTAAATTAATAGGCTAACTTTATGTTTCAGGATTCAGGATTACGGGCTAATTTGATATTTTCATAAATTAACGAAAAAATATTATAGGTAACCTGGTTTAAATAAATTAAATGAAACCATCAATCGAACTAGTAGGATTTATTTTATTATTCATCAATAATCAAATTCAGAACTTGAATATTCAACTGCAATGTCTGCTCATGAACGCTACAAACTCGGTACTTCTTTCCCAATTCCATAAAATTCAACTTTTAGAAAGTGACAAAAAACTTTAAAATAGGCAGTTGAAACAAACTACAGCTAATTTTCATAGTGGACTGTACTATACGATAAACATGTCAGTCAATTTGACAACCTTTATTGGAAACATTTTCAATGAAAATATTGTCCGAACCCTTGGTTTTTCTCTTCGACAAATACTTTAACACATTGTGAACCACTTTTCTTTCACGACTATAAAAAGATTTTAGCAATTTCATTCACAAAATCAATTGCGCACATTTAAAATAAAGTTTGTTTACACTTTGACAGCAATAGACTGACATGCAAGGTGACATGTCAATGAAGTTTTTAGTTACTGTTGCCATTAAAAGAAATTAGTACCATTAGTTTTCCGCAACATGGCGAGGGTTTTTATGTTCCTGGTCAGGCTATAATTATGAAAATCTGTGATTTGATATGCTTCAAGTTATCAGTTGATATTGAGCTGATGACTATTTGATATTTAAAAACTCTATTTATTATTTTGAAGTAGTGCCTAGTTAAAACTGACACATCATTATAAAATGTGTATATCAATGATATCACTAATAGATATTCATGTTTTTCTATTTCTAAAAGTAAGAAATGAGTAAGTAATTTTAAGTAAAGATGTTTGTCACGCACACAATTTGTCAAAATGTCAGTTGAAGGTTTGTGTACTTAATTGAATAAAATTGTGTTTTCTGTCTTAGTTGACATGATATAAGTACTTAAAAATATTTTTATAGTTGAATTTTTAAGTATCATGTTGCGATAGTATTCCTAGTATCCAAGCAGTCAGTTGTTTTTATATTTTTAAAGATATTAATCGCACTTGCACAGTTTAGTGTTTACTGTAATTGATGTATCAATGAACACTGAATAAGTGAATATCTTTATTAGCTGGCTCATTTCAGCGGTGGATGTACAGACAACACGTCAGACTACCCATTTTCATTGCAATATCGCCCCTATTACAACTTCATAAGACCCTACAGTGTTTAGCTTGAAGTGCTATCGTCTATGCATTTAGTTCCCAACACTGCCGATTGTGCGTCTCTGTCAAGGACTAATATCGCTGTCAGCCACAGCGCGCTGTTATTTGTTACCAGTGACTCGGCGCTGCAGCTATATTACAAGAGCTACACAAACTTTTCAAAATAATTATTAGCATAAAAAGAGGTCTGCTGCTGGTCAAAGACCAAGTAGGTGTGAATTTTGAAAACCAATGAAAATGATATCCTAGTACATACGGCCTAAAATGTTATGTACCCACTGGTTAAACTACTACATTACTGAGTGTGTACTTATGGTATGAAATGTTTGTATATTTTTTCTCACTTTGATTACACATTATTACAGAATTGCATTAGTATATTTTTCGGACAATCAAGTAGAAACATATTGGTAACTCGATGGTTGCAGTTAATATTATAAAACCCAGACTATTGCAAGTTACGGGTTACAGGTAAAACCAATTGAAAGTATATAAATAAACTGCTCAAAAATAATATTGATTGTACGATTGTGTTTGCCAATATGGCTTTTAATAAAAGCGCGCCGTCATTTGATGCCAGTGACTCGGCACAAATTGGCAGTTACCGCTGCAGGTATGGCCTACCCAGGCATGTTTCACGTAGGAACAAACTAATACACTTATTGAATCATAGGTAATGTGGTAGGTAGTTAACATTTCTAAAGTATTGTCGATGATATGATGCGAAATGAGGCGCCTCAAATTAACGTTTGATGCTAATTATATCTTGGTTTTAATCCTTTTGATAAGACTCTTACTATCATTGTTCTCATATTGAGAATCCACGCATTTTTCTCTTCGAATACACTTATGAAATTGAATGTGCTCAAAATATTAATTTCAAATTTAATATTATTGTTTGAAACCGATAAGCAAATGATACCTGCTGCATATCAAAATGATATTACTTTGTGCGTTGCTTGACTGATCCACGTACAAAAACCCTGCGCTTGCTAATAACTGAATGAAACTTATTATCAATTGAAAATTATCTCTAGAACGCTATAGGCAATACTCGCTATAATACTGTGCTAGAGGTAAGGTTTACAGCCTATTTTCAGTATTTCTGTAAACATTTAAAAGCTGTCTAACTAAGATTTATAATGAGGTCATTCGCGTCCTGCACTCGAGCCGGCACGAGGGCGACCCAACGACGTATTTGCTCAGAGGGCCCTCGACAAGGGAGCCGATGCACCGAGAAAGTTCTGGATTTTAAGACTAAAGCTGTGCTCGCAACTTTTTTCGAATGAAAAACGTTTTCCAGATAATTGTCCAGTCAACGAATACAGCTAATTTAAGACGTAGGATTTCATACAAAAAAGAAAAAAAAATGATTATTTGAATATGGATGAAAAGGGCCGTATGCTGTCTAGCTTCGTTGAATAATAGTGGTAATACCAGCTCCTCTAGTCCTATGCCAGAATAGAAAAACTTCGGATTACTAAATGACGTTTCCTCGGTCCGGGATACTATCTCATTCTTGAAGAAGGAGAAGTTTATAAACCATACAGTCTTGTCCTTCAGTAGATGTACGAATATCAATTCATGTAATTAAATATTAATGAAAAACTTTCGATGCCTTCAAAATTCCATTGCGTGATTCTGCAGTTCTCATGCTTATAATATCTTCAGTTAGCTACTGAAACTCTTGAGCTGTAAGATTTGTAATGACGTCATTCGCGTCCTTAGGTCAACGTGCACTCGAGCTGGCGACCCTGC